TAATTATGGTCACATAATAATATGTACCTATGTACCAATGTACCTATGGATGACTGCATTACACGCGAAACAGAACTGACAAGACAAACCCGCGGACAAGACAAACTGCACAGACATCGCAACTTAATATCAAATCAAGTGAATGGATCTGGGCGCCAGTGGTAAGCGTAATGATACAGGATTCACTCAAAATAAAAAAGAAATTATTGATAAGAAATGTAAGTATAAACAAGATGTTAAACACTATTTCATTCCTAATACCCTTGTTTATTTGTGTCATAATGTAATATTGTAATGTAAGAATACAATTTAAGAAGTGTTGTGCCATGTTTAATTTATAGTTGCTGTCACTCCAACACCGACGTGCTGCACCGTGGCGTTATTACATTCTGTATATAAAAAAGGAACATACAAAACGTCCATATAATTAAATATTATTAATAGTATACCATTATACTGATGGGTGTACCCATCATTCCAGTGGTTCCCAACCATTTGTTGAGTGCGACCCTATTCCAGAAACTATCATCTGATCGCGACCCCTCGAAGAACAAAGTCACCTTTTACTGTAAAACAACATTACAGATCAAAATGTTGTAATGAGAGAGCGAGGAAATACATCGTGGGCCTGAGAGAGGAAAGACGATTAGTAATGTGGCAGGAGACTTATATGCTTTTCATGAAAACAGCATTTTTTCAAAAGTTTCAGTGTTGTCCGCCACGACCCGAGGATGGGAACCCTGGTTCTAGGACGATCACTGAGAACACAGTTATTTCAGATCCGGGAAACATTATATGACGAAGTTAGTACAACGTTACATAATTATAATTACACCAACATTTCGTTTTACTTGCGGCATTTGCTAAAGACATTTTTTATGGGACTCCAGATCAACTTACCAATAAAAACAAGGTGATAAACAGAAAGTTCCGCGAAAGGCTTATATTATCGAGACATTTGAACGGCGTGATTTAGTAATTAAGTGCCCACACGAATAAACAGGACACAAATATTATCTGCTGTGGAGTAGTCACGCGTTGTACTTAAATTTTCCATTAGATAGTGATCCTTTAAGGAACTTTTACATGTTTTAAGAAACTTGTCACTTTAACATGCTTTAAGTAAATTGTCACTTTAACATGCTTATCTTGCTTAACGACTACGCATATTCCTTTTAGTTTCTCATCGATTCCTGGTAAAAGAATTAATTATTTTTGTTTGCCATAAAAATATAATATTGTCCAATAACAGAGAGCAGATTGGCTTTGAAAAGAAGAGCAGTAGCGACTTTCCCCTACATAATCATCTTTTGATAAAGCTGAAGAAGTCTGAGCTGTAATAACAATAAACACAGTGGATTAATAAAGTATTGTATAATTTAGTCCAGTCTTCGCTCATCGTCTTAAGAGAGCAATAATTCCAAGTGGGGCTTAACGTCGAATCAACAGAAAGTACGTCACTCCGGGACTAAAATGGTATATATATTTTTATTTCAATAACTTCAATGGCTTTATGCTATTCCACGGAAGAGTACTTTCAAACCGTGTACCATCCCAAACCGTGCACCAAGCCAAACCGCGACAACGCAAATATCAGCTCAATATAATAAATCATGGCATTAATTTGTATGGCATTGAAATGAGAACTCAAAGAAAGGTCCAGAAACAACAGTTGGTTAGTACGTAAATTTCAGGGATTACTCTGGGTTGATTTATTTCCGACGAAATTTGACAAAAATAGTAATAGACAAAAAAAAAAATTAAAAACTCATGTTCTAAAGCAGCAGTCACAGATACACTTTAGTAAATAAAACTGGGTTAAAACATTTTATTCTATTATAGTCCTTAGTAATTTTCGGAGAAATACAAACTACATGCATGGATAACCATATGTCGTAATGTCGTAATGTCTCGTAAAAATGTCGTATTGTCGGGTTAAAATGTCATGATGTTTTGATGTCGGGTTGTCGGGTTGTCGTGGTGTCGTGATGTCGGATTGTCGGATTGTCGTGATGTCGGGTTGTCGTGGTGTCGGGTTATAGGCCATATTCCTCTCAATACTATGAATATGTACACTGATCCTGGTGTTGGTCAAGAAATTTCTCCGGGATTTTGCAGCGTGGTTTCTCCATGTCGGTAGTGCAGGACAAAGTGTCTGATAAAGTACAGTGTCTAGTTGTGTAGACGGTACAAAAACAAGCTCCTATGAGGTTTTAGAAAGAAAAAAAAAACAATTTCATCTCAGCTAGCGCTTTCACCCACTACGGGGATCATCAGGCATTTACCTGAGCGTAGAATCTTTTATTAACTTTTTATTTTACCTGAGAATAGAATCTTTTATTAACGGTTTACATATATATTTATAATATATCGTTCTCATGGCTGGAAAGGAAAATACTAATACTTTTACCTGAGAGTAGAATTTTTTATTATACACACACACACACATATATATATATCTATAAATAAATAAAAACTACGTCCAGGTAAAAATTATATATATTAAAATTTGATAAAGCTTTATTTACATTAAAAAATGAATTTGCGTGATATATATATATTGTATGTAAATGGTGGTATAGGTCAACATGCGGTTATAAAACTATTTCACACACATAAATGACAGTTGATTCAGTCACGCATGAAATACTGACATCACAGATAATGATGTGTGTCAATGTAAACTATATTTTTCTTCATGGTGAAAATTTTATTAACTGCAAATTTAAGACTATGTTTGATTGTAGGAAGTTTTGATAGATGCTTAAACTATTTCTGGTTAAATTTGATATCTATCACGGATGGGTATTAGGTGTCTGAGTGATCTAACGCGTGTGTTGCAGGATAATAATGATTGTAATCGATGCAATGTCACTATACAACCCCATGCTTGTGAAGAGAAGTGGGGTCGGCTGCTTAACCTCACTTGGTTTTATCTACTGTATCTGGTTTCCCGTCACTACTAAAGGCATCTGTGTGCCAGCAACATTTGGAATAAAACAAACAACATATAATTACATGTAGTTCCAAAATAATCTAGTTTATGTTGAGTGATCGTTAAACTCCATTCTCCCTTATTCTTCAATATAATATAAAATATGAGGTTCTGACCGAAATGAAAAATATCAGCCATCAAAAGTCCCAAGTCTTGTACATAAAAGAGCCGGATTCGTATACTGATCAACCAAACACACCCTTAGATTATTATAGTCTCCTTTATCAAGGTATTTCAGCTGTAAAATTTGGTATAAAATCCCCTAAAACATAGCAACATCCGTGTTGGTTTAATACTTGTATAGCTGGATGCAGATCACCAAGGGTTACACCACCCCCACTCCCATTGAGTTTATCGTTCATTAGTTTACATTTGCTTGAGCATTTTTTTTAACTACAGATGGAGATATTCATACAGGAAGTAGCATACTAGCTAAAGTGTAATTATTTTAATCATCATACATTTCTCCTTTACCAGCCACCTGTGTTATTTTTCGATTCTGTACGAAAAAACAATTGAAGGAATTCATTAGTCTACCTCCAGAGAATAATTTCACATTATTAGTCTGTCTCGTTATTCCTAAAAACTTATTTTTCAAATACCTAGAGTCCCAATTGTGGAGTTATTACGCAGCTATACCTTGCGAATATGGGTTAAAACAGACGTAGTCTAAAAAAAGATAATATATTATACTAACATCCGGGTTGTAGATAACAGACCTATATAGAAGATAAGCGATATGAGCCACGGTTTGTTGATTTTGATATACAACAACTTACTATTGTCAGCTCGACCGTTCAAAACACAAGCTTTAGATAAAGGGTGAGGTACAATCTAGGTTCCTGATGTATAATAATTATGTGATGTGTTTGTTACATGATATGCCTATTATGTATTACAAATATGCATAAAAGGAGGACAAGATGTGAAGTGGTGTTATATTTTCTCCGTGAGGTTGGATTATTATCTGATTTATATCTAAGATAGACATTACTGTTGTGTTGAAATTGAACTGAAGTATCCACAGGTGAGTGGTGTCAACATTGGCCATGAACTTGGTATTTTATTTTAAACGCTAAAGGTATTTTGGGTAATTTTATTTTGATATTATAACGTCCTGAAATCTGCCGTACGAGGACGTGTACTGTACGGGGACTCATCGGGTCGAGAACCCATTTTAATATAAATTGGAAAACCGGTATATAAGTATGATTTTATTAATAAAACTTATTCATTCAGGGTGTTAAACACCTGCGAAACTTTATCCTGGTCCTGTGTAACTATCTGAGGATCCCTGGGACCTTTTCGGAGAAATACAAACTTCTTGTTTCCATATAGGGTTGGCCAAAGTCATCAAGTTCTACATTGTGAAAGGGCCTGGATAACCAAGCATATATCTTTATCGTGGTAAGTTATCGTTAGGTATCCAGTCAGTCATACAATTGGTATCCAGTCGGTCATACTAGTTCATCGGAAATTTTCCGACGTGTTTTCCCCTTGTCAGTGGTGCAGAACGGATGGCCTGACAAGGAATCTGTCTTGTCGCTCGGATGGGACGAAACACCGAAGTAACGTGTATACATTGGCGTGCACGTAAAAGATCCCTTGGCCGTTGGAATTCGATATAAGAGTAGGCCGTGGTGCCGATGCCCGGGCAAAATTTCCCTCGTTACACACTGTATGGCGTATGCCCGTCTTCATTAGCCCAGTCGGAGTCGAAAAGTAGGCCGTTAAACCCCATTTCATTTCATTTTATTTCATTTCATGTCAGCCATACAAATGAAGAGTGAAATTCCTTAAAAATGACTTACGTAACCAAGTAAGAAACTAGCATTTTAACAGTGCGATATTTTGTTTTTTACGGTGTCATGTGAAATCTGGTACTCTCACTATAAAAGGGGTGTGGTTTGATGTAACGTAGAACTTATTATATAACAAGGATGTAGTTTGGTGTAACGTAGATCTTAATACATATTATATTTTACAGGTTGTATGGATGCAGAGTATAGGGGGCACATAGAGTCTATCAGGCGATGTATGTTATGTAACGCGGAGCTTATTATCTATAGTTATGAATGATACTAGATACTAAAGAAGTTTCATCCCCATACTTCTTCAGTTTGAAATTGCGACATCTCAACCGTCATTCAGTGACATTTCGCAAGTGATAAATTAATATGATATAATTGATGAAGTTATATTTAAATGGTATTTTATATTGTGAAGCGTAACAGGAGTGTATAACTACGATGAAACACTAACGTTTAAACGAGTGGGTTTTGTGTAACAGGGTCTTTGTTGGTTCGATTCCTCTAACGAAATCCTATCTACCTTTTTCTACAGGACACAGGTTGCCCTACACACTATAACACCGTTATTGAAAGTGAAACAGAGAGTTGTGTAAGGTGTCGTGGAAGAGTAGCTTCTGATACGACAGTGTATTGTTTAAATGTGACAAGAATTGATACAGGTTTGTAATATTTTATTTTAAGACTAATCATTCACTGTGTTATAACAATAATTAATTGTCCTTGTTGGTCAATAATAGTAAAAGAAATAAAACGAGGTTTAACGTCCTGTTGTTTTGCTCCTACTGGGCTAATGAAAACGGATAATAAACAGTAATCAAAACTTGTGATACTGTGTCCAGAGTAGGCTCACTCGTCCTTGAACATATGATACCACTTCTTATTTACTCTTCTTTCTAGAACACCTGACACCACTTATCAAATATAATATGTTGTACATTATGGCTATTCTTCTTTAACCTTTATAGTGTAACTTATTAATGATTTGCTATGAATATGATTCTGATATACAAAAAATCATAAGCTTGCAGCTGTCAACCCTTGAATCAGACGCTTTAAACCATATAAATAATAATACATAAGCTGTACAGTGTCATACCTACATAACACAATAAAATACAATTTTTCAGGAGGTTTAAGTACATGATACATTCCTTACTTCGTCTTCCGGGTATAATTTGACAAAATATTGTACAAATTAAATATGTAAAAAGGTGATATTAATATGACTATTAGGTATTGTATTATAAATCTATATAAATCTTATTATATCAGATAATAACGAATTTTTAAATTACTAACTAGTTTGGAAGTAAAAATATATAATATATCTAAATTTATACACATAAGAATATGCATGACGAGTTGACAATGGACAGTAGACTGTATCGTTCCTGTCTGGACAAAATATTCTCTCACATCACATTACATTACTGATGATCTTCTTCGCTGGTGTATAAAAGTAAGAGATGTTATAATATACTCTTCAAAATCTATCTATCTATATATATATTTGTGACTGTCGTTTGTCTGTCGGTCTGTCTGTCTGTCTGTTCGGGGTTGGCGGCTACACTAGGTCTGCCCCGAGTCTGAAATTTGGAGTATAGGGGTAGCTCGGACCGGGGAGTAACATAGGCCAGGTGGCGTTAGTCTACCACTTCCGGTTTCGGAGTTATGACCCCCGAGCGAAGCCGGTCTCTTCGGGGTTGGCGGCTACACTAGGTCTGCCCCGAGTCTGAAATTTGGGGTATAGGGGTAGCTCGGACCGGGAAGTAACATAGGCCAGGTGGCGTTAGTCTACAACTTCCGGTTTCGGAGTTATGACCCCCCGAGCGAAGTCTGTCTGCTTGGGGTTGGCGGCTACATCTGCCCTGAGTCTGAAATTTGGGGTATAGGGGAAGCTCGGACCGGGAAGTAACATAGGCCAGGTGGCGTTAGTCTACCACTTCCGGTTTCGGAGTTATGACCCCCGAGCGAAGTCGGTCTGTTCGGGGTTGGCGGCTACACAAGGTCTGCTCCGACTCTAAAGTATTTGGGGTATAGGGGTAGCTCGGACCGGGGAGTAACATAGGCCAGGTGGCGTTAGTCTACCACTTCCGGTTTCGGAGTTATGACCCCCGAGCGAAGCCGGGTATCCTGCTAGTATACTAATATTTGTGACTGTCGTTTGTCTGTCTATTTGTCTGTTTGTCTGTCTTTCTGTTCGGGGTTGGCAGCTACACTAGGTCTGCCCCGAGTCTGAAATTTGGGGTATAGGGGTAGCTAGGACCGGGGAGTAACATAGGCCACGTGGCGTTAGTCTACCACTTCCGGTTTCTGGGTTATGACCCCCGATCGAAGCCGGGCATTCTTCTAGTAAGAAATAAATACAAAACTGCGGAAATGCAGTGTATGTTAATAACAGGCCAATTGTCTACACATGAACATAAACAGTTCATATGGACGGCTTATCTGACGGCCCCATTTCACTCGCAAAGCGATACACTGTCAAAAGTAAAAATGGACGTTTTTGATTTTTGTCTTAATAATGAGTAATTGCTCCACCAATCCTCAGACATTCAGCAATTCGTCGTGGCATGCTCTTAATCAACCGTCCCCTCACGATTTGGGGCAATTTGACCCACTTCTCTTGCAGTGCTACGGCCAATTCTTGCAGTGTTGTCAGTTGACGTTGATATCGACGAACACGTCTCCAGATCAAATTAAACGTAACAAACTAAAGCAAAGATACGCTAATCAGTAAATCTTATGCAAGAACCGATAGGAAAGCAAACATGGATAGATAAACCAGCACGCGGCAGTTTTCATTTGAAGTGTCAAATTTGACAATGAACCCCTCCCACGTGTATGGCGCTATTGCGTGTCGTATGTGCAGCTCAGCGGTTCTGTTGGGGCGATAAGTTCTTCATCTGTGAACATACTCTCAAAGCATGTCAAATGTCCATGACTATTTATCATATCTCAACCTGCATAAGTATTTGCATTTCAATATCCCCTACTTTTTTTAAAGAGTATATTTATATCATTGAATACGTGACATGTACGGTTGTTGTGAATACAGTGTTATCTGATCGAAGAAGATAAATACACCTTTAGCCAGGAGTTTGTTTACATGGATTATTGTACGGTATCACTTGACCCCCAAAATATATATCTATCAGCCATAAAAATATTTGATTTACATATATAAAATATGTATATATGTAAATAAAATATAGATAGTGTAAGAACCCTACATTTTCACCAGTATATAAGATTGTTGTCTGATACATCGGTATGCTATTGTATATAATCATTCATGTACATACGCAATTTCAATTGAGTCACTCAACGGCGACAACATTGTTGTAATTCGAGAGGGGTGGGCGGCCCAATGGTTAGCACGTGCGCGCTGTCCCATAAGGTCTGTCATTCGACGGTTGTACGTGACAAGGAGCAGGGTCGCCTGTTTAACCTCGTGGGTTTTCTCTGGGTATTCCGGTTTCCTCCCACTGCTAAAGACCCCTACGCGCAAACGAATTATTGAAATAAAATTCAACCATGACCTAGTTTGTGTCGAGTGGACACTTGATAATGATTTACCGTTCAGGGAGACTTTTAAGCTTTAGATACTTGGGAACTTTTACTTTATTATCAAGACTGTCATGATTATTTGCTCGAATTTTGAGCCTCTTCAATTTTTACCCATTTTGGACCATCCGTAGATAGACTTTGCTTCTGTCAGAAAAACTCGTTTAAAGTCTTTGTGCGAATAGAAACCCTTTATTCTACTTATCACATTTTAAAGATGCGTTACAGTATGTAAGATTTAAATAATGAACTAGCCGTTGTTGCTATAATAGTTCAGAATAAAAAGTGCGAAATAATTACTTTATTTGAAAGGAGCCACGGTGGAAAAGTGGGTAAGACGCTGGCTCGCTAGCCTGGGGGTCGCGTGTTCGATCCCTGCATTGACCGAGAAAGTTCATCGGGATTTTCCGACGCGTTTCCCATTGTCAGTATTGCAGGAGAGAGGGCCTGACAAGGATAACTGTCTAGTCGTTCGGATGGGACGAAAACCCGAGGTCCCGTGTATACATTGGCTTGCTCGTAAAAGATCCCTTGGCAGTTGGAATTCGATATAAGAGTAGGCGATAGTGCCGCTGCCCGGGCAAAATTTCCCTCATAACACACTGTATGGCGTATGCCCGTCTGCATTAGCCCAGTTTAGAAGCAGAACAGTAGGACGTTAAACCCCATTTCATTTCACTTTATTCTGAGCTAATTATTATCAATATTTGTAGTTTTAACAAGATGTGTACATTGATTGTTTATTATCGTAACCATGGTGCTGGTTATTCAAGGCTTAGCCTCGCTTCTCCATTTTTAAATTAAAATATTACATGGGCGAACCGTTCTAATCTACATAAAATCGAAATCATCCGATTGCATCGGGGGGTAATTATGGTCTTGTCAGGGTGGTACTTTTTACCGCCGATCACCGCGTGGCTTAACGGCGACTCTCGTGTAGTTTTGTCCTTCCATATTCTTTAAAATATATATGAATGTTTTTCGACAGTTGTACGTGATTACACCTCAAATAAAAAATAACATTCTTGTTGTATTCTTTTTTATAAAAAAAATAAACCAACCGTAAAATAGTCGGTGGTAACAAGGAATCATTAAGCATTTGGTCGGCGGTAACAAGTATTTGGTCGGTGGTAATTATATTACGGTCGAAAGTCATTACAATGCGGTCGGTGGTAAAAAGTATTTGGTCGGCGGTAATTACACGACGGTCGGCGGTAAAAAGCATTTGGTCGGCGGTGGTTGGCGGAAGTCGGCGGTGGTCGGCGGTAAAAAGTACCACCGGTCTTGTCATGTTAATAAATATAACATGGGTAAATTTAGTTTTTGAATAATGCCTCTTTAATCGTCATCCTCTAATTTGATTATTTATTAAATCTACTATTATGGTAAGCAATTACAAAAATACAGATCATAGAAGAAACATAACTAGAATATTAACAGAATTAACCCTATATGTACCAGTGCAAGATTTATAAACGTCGAGGCTCTTTATAGTTATTTCTTTACACTTATTTAAAAGTAGTGGTTAATTTTAGCGTACAAATATTTATTAAAAGATTTGAGTGGTGGGGTAATAAAAATATAATTTACTTGAATTATGATTATTCGAAATTGGTGGAAAATCGATAAGTTATTTAGACAAATAGAAAAGACGCACGTATTATACTCTCTGACTTCCCCAATCATAGACTTGGCTATATTATTATATTGAATAGTGATTTTATCTTTAATAAAAGGCCTTCTCTGTGTGTACAGTACGTGTTGAATGTCATATAGAGTCATATCTCAGATATCATCAAAAACATTAAGGTTTAAGGTTGCAATAGACTTATAGGGGGCGACGAACTAGTAACAATTAAACTTAGTTACACTAGACGGGCAAATAAAAGAATCCAATGCAGAAATTATTTCAAATGATGGGATTCATAATCGTATTCAAGTGCTCTCTTTTGCCAGAAACACAAAATCGAATAAAAAATAAAAGCGGATAATTGACAAAATAAACTGAAGCATTGACAAAATAAACCGGATAATTGACAAAATAAACCGAAGCAATGACAAAATAAACCGGATCTTTAAAAAATAAACCGGATCTTTAAAAAATAAAAAATAGATCATTGACAAATTGGATTGCCGATCTTTGCACGGAATGGAACGAGCAGATCACTTATCTGTATTCACTTTAAAACCTATGGTTTAGAATTTGTTTATAATTATTTTTACAATTGGAATTGTTTAGCATATTTTTTAACAGAAGAAAGGTATTCTTTATTCCACATTATTTATATTTTCCCTGTGTTTAATGGGGTGTCTTTAGCTAAAGAAGGGCATTCAGTCGAAACATTGCACTTAAATGCACTTACCAACATACCTATTTTGTCAAGCAAGTTGATGTGGTACGCCATGAATATCGGAGCCAAGATGTTATCTGACCTATTTATTTCTTTTTTTTTTACAGGGATGGGGGTGGGGGAGAGACTGTTTTAATCGTATAAATTGTTTTCCAGCCCTTATCTGTGTTGTTCTCCGCGTTTTGTAGAATACAGAAAACGAATGAACATTTGGAACACAATAACTCTGCTTGTATGTTGAATATTGTCTGCTCAGGCTAAGCAGAGGTAACCCATTTGGATGGTCGAGTCTTTTGAACACAACAAATCCCTTTTTAATTCAGGTCGGATGTTTGTCGATACTTTGATTTTGAAACACGATAACTTTGATTTTAATTGAGTCATGAATTTTGAAATTTATTTTCATTACATCAATACCTTGACTAAATTCGATAAGTTCAGGTTAAACAGAGTGATAAACAATTTACTTTATAATATCATCTGCAACCTGAGCTTCCAGAATTACATGATACATGAAAGCGCTCGTTCGTCTATTCCTGGAGTTTTACGTCCACTTCCACTGAGGGTGAAAGCGAGTGTTAACTTGTATACATGTTGTTTTCCAATCATGTCGAATTTACGGTAAATGCGAGCTTTAGACATGCAAACTGGATTGTCATAATGACTAGCTAGTCTGCAAGTAGAAAATATCACTTGTAATACTATTAGATAGCTATTTTCAAGTAGCACACTCGTAGTTACAGTATCTACGACATGATTCAAACGCTGATTTGCCTTCTTTTAAACTGCTACACCAACAAAGATACAAACAAACGCATGTCGAGAACATGAAACATGGCTTATTTTGTTATCTTATCTTTTTAAACTGCAGGTTAAATAAAGGGCTAAATCTAAGATATACGTATATAGCTATATAGACCGAATGTGGTGTTAAAGATGGCGGCGCCCATACCCGATTTGACTGTACTACAGGATGTGGCGGGACCAAGCATCCTCGACGCACTCAAAACTAATCATGAACGTGAAGTCATTTACGTAAGTACATGAGAAAATCGATCAGTTAAGGGGTCATCTACATTTCACATTATTTTCTAATGATTTCAGTCAGTCACCGAAGTATAACGTGACTTTTCAGTCCTTATTTTTGTTACATTTGGATAAGGAAAATGTATATTAGCTCCCCGAAGCATTGATGTGTCGTGCTAGAATCCCGAGATTGGACAAGAAGAGCCCTCGGGAGTTTTCAAGCCCTTTTCTCAATTGTCGGGGTGGTACCTGCGAGACTGACAAGCCGTTCGCATCGTACGAAAACCCGATTTGTAGTGTACGTAAACTAACCCTTGGCGCTTCGAAGAGTAAGTTGAAAATTCTCCTCCTCGTATACATTAGTTTCCTACTTTACCATAGAAACCGTATGTTAGTTTAAAATGCCATATATCGACGAGATGTTAAACCCCTTTTCATTATTTGATTGATTGATATCTGTTTCTTGTTTACCAGGTATATATTGGTGATATATTGTACAGCATTAACCCTTGCAAACCCATGCCTATATACGGTCCAGAGGTAAGTTACAATGTCATATCATTTTATTTTGTATATATAGATACAGATCTATTGATTATGTTATTGAGAATATATATGAGTATTGTTTGTTTGGATAAACTTTATTGTTTTACGCAATTATGGATCTACATTATTTTATATATAATAATGAAGACTTTTTACGGATATACATCTTGGTATTATATAATCATGGAGATGTTATTTCGGATTATTTTTATATAATCATGGAGATGTTATTACAGATATACATTTTTTAATTATATAATAATGTAGATGTTTTTTTGGGTATATACATTATTTTGTTATATAATAATGGAGATGGTATTGTGGATATACATTATTTGTTATGACTTATAACATATAGGTATCTTATTGTGAGGTCACGGATATAAAGCTATTTGATTATTTAATTATGGGTGTGTATATATATATATCTGTAGATAGGATATGGTTACTGTGGATTAAAAGAATTAGAAGATAGATTACCACATATCTATGGTACAACGCATCGAGTGTATAAACATCTAACTTGTCATAACTTACCACAATGTGTTTTATTACGCGGATACTCAGGTTCAGGTATGTTAGTCAACATCTAGTCCAGCTTTTCCTTTACTTATTTTAAACGGATACCCAGGTTCAGCGGTTAGTCAACATCTTGTCGACATTTGAGATCTTTTCCGTTACTTAATTGAATATATTATAACCTATTTCATAATAAAGAGCGATAGAATAGGAGGCAGAGTTCCCTTAAAACAAATTATGTTACGTCGGGATTAACATAATGTTTTATTCAACCGCCGCTTTTAGGAAAGGGAAAGGGGGTCTACAAGCCTGAGATCAATTTCGACACGTGTACTAATGATAAATGTAAAAATTCCTACCCGAAGCGGGCTATCGGATTGGCCAGTAGACTACAGTCGTATTGGTTTGGCCCAAACTATATGGAATTGAACAGCGTCATAAACAACGCTGATAATACATTCACTGAATTGTTATTATTGGTGGCTGTACATTCACTCAGCTGCATGGTGAAGGTTAAAATTATGGTTATTATTAGAGATCCGGTAGATGTTTGCATCTAGAAGATTTAACTGACATATTATATTGCTTCTCTGTCAATAATTTCACAATAAATGTCGCCAACAAAGCCCTGGAGTTAAAATCACCTGTCCTTAACAGTACGCCTAACTTGTCTTCTTAACCCGTGCTCTCTATATACAGTTAAACCCTGATATGTCGAAAATATAAGGGACAACAAAAACTATTAGATATCAGTGACGTTCGGGTTCACTAGTTGGAGGCAGACCACCATTAATTTTCCATATCTCGGTACCCACAAATTGTAGTGCCGGCTATTTTTAGATATATTTTTCTCCCTCCTTTCCTGCCATTTTGCATGCTTATCTCTATTGACTTTTTGGTGTAGAATTGATGAAGAGGCATTGAATTTCTATTTTCTGCCTGGTTTGGTGTCAGATTGAGATTTTTAAGGCGGAAGACTACAAGGAGTAAAGAGGCTTTGTTTTGTTTTTGCACTAACACGGACATGATATTCTGACCCCAGTCTGCTATGAATTTCAGTGAATTGAAATTTTGGTGGTCAACCTCATACAAATTTAGTACTCTGATGATCCCATGATGTCATACTTGCTGTGCTGTAAAGCGAAGTTCTCAACGAAATTTAGGGAATGGGCTACAGCATGTAGAACACCACTGATTTAACATTGGAGTCAATGGAGAAATTAATGGTGGTCTGCCTCCAGTTTTGAGAATTGGAGTTACTTACCTTGGAATAAGCCTTTCTGTTTTCATCCTGCATTGTAATGAATTTAAATGGTTAAACATTAAACAGATACCTCAGAATTAACAAATATGCTGCCCATTTATTTATGTTATTGTAATTTTAAGGTAAAACTGAAAGCTGTAAAATGGTGATATCTCAGTTAGTTAGAGAATCAGAAAATATCGCTAGTACTCCTACTGGTACCATTGGTACCAAACTTACAGAGGTTAGTAATAGTTGCCCCCGTACAATTCCGCCTAATTTAATTGCCAAAACAGTGCTCACGTCTAGTAATATCTTACAACCGATGTGGAACACTGGGCAGCGTATGCGTCTTCTTTCGAGATCACTCGATTTCACCTATGGACACACCATACATTTCTCCTGCACGTAAATGAAATCGAAAATTAGGGAGCGGAAAGGCCGCTTTCTTGGCAGAATTCTCATACCATGCATTTCTATCAAAATGACTGAATTATTGTGTTACCGCGATATTAAACCCCATTCCCATTCTTATATTTTCAGGCGATGCATCTGCTGGATGCGTTTGGTAACGCTTCAACTCAACTCAATGAAAATGCCAGTAGATTTACTAAAGCTGTTGATATTTTATTTGATGAACGAGGAATACTTGTTGGAGGTATGTTCCATACACAGGCGCTTGTTATATGGAAGATCTCTTTTTTTAGAAAAAAAAAGAAAACACCATTTAAGATGTATTATGTAAGAACTAAATCTGCCAATTTCAGGTCTTTATTTTGGCTTAAAATGTTCAATAAACTGTTATTTAAACACTTGTGAACATAACAAGTCCATGATCAACTCTCTAGGACATCGGATGGCTCCTATTTTAAGTCGATCAGAAGGCTTCGTCTATTTAATGATTTAATTTAAAACTTGAGAAGCAAGGCTACGTCTCGAATAATAAACACCATTGTTATGATAACAAACAATCAATGCCACCTATAGTGGGGCGGTTAAGCAAAAAATCGTGCACTTTGTGTTAAAAGCATGAAACTTGGCACATAGATGGCATCAACCCTACTGATTATTTTGGGATGTGGATCCACCTCAGCAGCTCCCCCTGGTGGTCGTTACGGCCATCTTTTCCAAAATGGCCGCCTATTCATTGATATACATATAACAAGGGGTGTCACAATAAGACATTTTTTTTACAAATCATTTCAGGCCAGCAATTTCCAGATGGAAAACTGCTAGCCGAACACGATATTATTTTGAAAAAAGATTTATCTATGACGTCATTTTCGTTTGGGGTTTGCCTGATTTCAAAAATGGCCGCCAAAATTGGAAGAAAAATGAATTTCCAGATAGGATGGGTGATTATCACGCAATGTATGCCTTGTAATATATCAAATATAAGGTTTTTGTTGTAATTTAACTGAAAAATAATCTCTAAAACTAGTTTCCCCAAATCCAAGATGGCGGAAATTCAAAATGGCGGCCAAAATATACCCAAAATGGCGGATTGATCAGATTAAAGTCATTTCACTGTTTGATTTGGTTTGTAATATATAATTTAAAGGGTTTACATTGTCACTGAACTTAAAATTAATCTAAATAAAAAAAATAGTTTCCAAAATCCAAGATGGCGGAAATTCAAAATGGCAACCAACATTTATCTAAAATGGCCGATTTGTCAGATAAAAGTCATTTCACTCTTTGATATGGTTTGTAATATGTAATATAAAGAGTTTTCAAAGTCATTGAACTTAAAATCAAACTAAAATAAAAAAGAGTTTCCAAAATCTAAGATGGCGGAAATTCAAAATGGCGGCCAGAATTTGCCAATAATGATCAAATTTCAGGATAATCGTGAATTTTCTGTTTGATATGCCTTGTAATATGTCCTCTATTAAGTTTTCAGAGTCATTGAATTTGATAATTGTAGATGATTGTTTCAGAAAAAAGGGGCAATGTAAACCCTTTAAATTATATCTTACAAACCAAATCAAACAGTGAAATGACTTTAATCTCATCAATCCGCTATTTTGGGTATATTTTGGCCGCCATTTTGAATTTCCGCCATCTTGGATTTGGGGAAACTAGTTTTAGAGATTATTTTTCAGTTCAATTACAACAAAAACCTTATATTTGATATATTACAAGGCATACATTCCGTGATAATCACCCATCCTATCTGGAAATTCATTTTTCTTCATATTTTGGTGGCCATTTTTGAAATCAGGCAAACCCCAAACGAAAATGACGTCATAGATAAATCTTTTTTTCAAAAATCGTGTTCAGCTAGCAATTCTGCATCTGGAAATTGCTGGCCTGAAATGATTTGTAAAAAAATGTCTTATTGTGACACCTCTTGTTATATGTATGTCAATGAATAGGCGGCCATTTTGGAAAAGATGACCGTAACGACCACCAGGGCGAGCTGCTGAGGTGGATCCACATCCCAAAATAATCAGTAGGACTGATGCCATCTATATGCCAAGTTTCATGCTTTTAACCCAAAATGCACGATTCTACCAAAAATTCTTCCTTAACCGCCCCATTACTATTGTCAAAACAATAAAAAAAATCGCTCAGAATAAAGTCATTTAAATGGATCAATGTATTCATTTAACATTATCTATTTTTGAACTATTATAGCAAGAACGCTCAGCTCTGTATCTAAATCTTACATAATCTATGTATGGTTTAGATCTATATTTATTTTATGTTTGGCTGAGATCTCGTGTAATTGACACTATATGTTTGAGTGAGATCTCGTGCAGTGTTTAGTATTCTTTTCCTCTATTTTCAGCAAATATAGAAGTTCATCATTTAGAGAAATGTCGTGTTTTATGTCCGTGGGAAGAAGAATGTAATTTTAACATATTTTATCATTTACTAGCAGGATTATCAACATCAGAATTACGTAGTTTCCATTTACAGGGAGAATATAGGTAAACATTTAATTGTTTAAACATCCAAACATCCTGCTTGTTCTTCTTCATCTACTGCCCCTTCTTCGGGTAGCGCTCTTTCAAAAGTCTAAGGGTTGGCCAATTCACGTTCGTTAGCGAGAAACTTGACATGCATGTTTTTAGGACATCTGCATAATAATTGACGGACATCGATTGTAAGATGGCTGCCATCACGAAATGAACCATAATGTTATAAAAATTGAAATCATTGTGAGGTAAAACTTTAAATTGTTGATTTTGTTAAATAATTGGAATATGTTAACTATTAAGTAGCCTATAAAATCGAAATAACATTGTAAATTATTTCGAACATATTTCGAATGGTGAGTGGATATGTTGCTTTTGTGATCAAATGTAAAATATGAAGGTATGAATGGAATTATTTCATCCAAACCAAACGACTAGACACCCATTATAGAATTCTCAGAGCACCAATATTTTCCTTTACATATCTTTTATATATATTAATCTCGGATGTTGGCTGTCCAATTGGTCTAACGCTTGTATTTCGTCATATTTCAGATTAATCTCACCTATACCTAATAAACCTGTATTTCAACAAGAAGCTGAGTTTGAGTTTCACAAAGAAAGGTTTAACTATGTGAAAGAAACGATTGAAACGTTAGGTCTAAATTTCCAGGTAAATTTTATACAGAGATATACTGATGTATTAAAGCACAAAAAGGCAATTGCTGCCTCATAGGGGTAGTTTAATGCGTGCGCTTTAGATCGAGTGATCAGTCAGTTGTTCGTTTTCTTCTCTTGATTCTTGAGTATCCAAAAATCTGTTACTTCCTCATAGGAGATGGGGTGGAAGGATAAAGTTTGACGCGCGCGATTTAGATGACATGATCAGTGAGTTGTTTGTTTCTTCCTGATACTCCAATTTCCTCCCACTTGATCAACCAGGTTTCAGCTTCCTTATAAGTTTGATGGGTTTGGTTATACTAGGCAGGTAGCTTATTAGCTGTATATGACTGATGACTGTTTGAAATTGAAATTTATTCGATTCGATTGTTCAGCCAATCAGATAGCCTCAAGCCATCGTTCTGGGTTTAAAAAAACACCCGTGGGGTTCAAGTCGCTATTCCGAACTGAAAATACGTTGTATAAAATGCCTGTGACTAAATTGCAGAGACGAGTTATACATGAAACAATTCTGCTTGCCTCTGTCGATAATGTGTCTAGATTTAGTAGAAATATAAAAGATATGTTAGTCCAAGCATGTCTTACTTAGGGTGACTACCATTTTAATTCCCAAGAAAGCACCCCATTAGACGGATTTATAGATACATTTATCTAAATCCACACTTTAATACTCCTACCACTACTCCTCTACCCCCTCTACCCTGTACCCTCATACTACATCATTACCATTCCCTTGAGTACCTCAGCCTACAACCCCAAACCACCCAGATCTTGCCAACCACCCATTACTCATTACACCCTCTACATTACTCATCCTTTAGTTGTTTATATTTTTTGTTCTTCCCTAATCTATAAATGTATCGTTTGTTTTGTCTTTGTTTCGTTGTAATGGTTTAATTTCTGTTTTATTTTTTCATGAAGTTGACCCGATACAGAATTGACGATCTGAAGCTTATATTCGGTTTATTGGCGGCCATGCTTCACCTGGGTAACATACAATTCTATACAGATCCGACAGGTGGCAGTGCTGTAGCTAATTATCAAGAATTAGACATGGGTAATATTGACATAGTATAATTATATTCTTCCATTATTTCCCAGAATAGCGATTGTTATATTTGAAAGAGCCAGTACGTTGTTATCATTCAGAGTTTAATCATACTTTTTTTTTAATTTCAGCTTCCAGACTTCTGCTTGTAAATCCCCAAGAGTTATCTTCCTTATTTTCATCTGTAACCACGTATGTTCATGGTGAGCGCATTTTAACTCAAACTATTAGTGCTCCAGGTCGAAGGTTTAAGGGAAAATAGTTTACGGATGATGACAATAAACGACTAGGTCTGTGGGTATGCCATTCCCACTCCCCTCTCTCGTTTAGGGGTTTCGTGCACGAGATAGTTTATTTTCTGTTCACATTGCCACACATCTAGTACTTTGTATTTAAACTGCAACTTTGCTGGTGACCTTATATGTAGGATAGCTAAGTTAGCATGACGTGGGTATGGCAGTGTATAAGTACAGTTTGTTTAGAAGCCGGTATATTATGTGTCTCTGTGTCTTTTGTGTGGATGGGACTGGGGTACATATGGTATGGATAACCCATCGAAAACCACAAAAGGTTAGCAAAGTCGCTAAAATGTAAAATAGAGACTCATGAATCGATGACATCATAATTGAAATAAGTAAAAGATATACATGTACGTGTTGACCTAGGAAACCCAAACGGTTAGGAAGGTGTCCAGACGTGGAGTAGAAACCACGACTCTTGAATCGATGAGAAACATAATTTGAATACAGATACACTATAAGCATTGATCAATCGTGTTTTGAGTGTCTGTCTCTATCTCAGATTCTACATTCTAATTTTAGGTCGTCCTGTAAACAAAGGAACTACACGTGAAGAAGCAGCTGGAATTAGAGATGTTTTATTACAATCTGTTTATAACAGACTCTTTGATTGGTTGATTTACCACATTAATATTTCCTTATATCCATCCGAGTTACATATAGCAGATCTCCAGTGTATAACCGTTGTGGATCCACCCGGGTTTGAGGCTAGAAGTCAGAACAGTCTAGAACAACTTCATATCAATTTACTGTCTGAACAGTTACATCAGTACATTAATGATGCAATCTTCTCCAAAGAATATGAAGACTGCAAGTTCGAAGGTGTTGGTCACCCAACGGTTGTTTACTGGAATGATAATAAAGAGTTGCTGGAATTATTAGATTTGGTAAGTTCCAGAGTTACCTCCTTGGATCACTACCAGAAATGTGACTCCCACAGATAAAATATAAATATGTTTTATTGTAAAATTGACTGAGCGCATTAAAGGTATACTAGTTTTAAATTATGTTTCACGAATATAGCAAGAGATAAATCTGCCTATTGAAGGTCTTTCTTTGGGCCTTAAATGTTATCTAAATTATTAACTAGATATTTAAAAACATGACAAGACCATAATCAACGCTTGTGGCATCGGATGGCTCCGATTTTAAGTAGATTAGAACGGTTCGGCATTTTAATGGTTTGATTTGAAAATGGAGAAGCTACAACCATTGATAACTTCGCTCAGAATAAAGTAATTTGAATGAAATATGCTCATTTTGCATGATTAATTTTGTAAATATTATAGCGAAAACGACCAGATCTTTATCTAAATCTTACATAATGCCCCTCTAAGTTGCATCATTTTTTATTTAGAACGCCACCCAGATCTTGAAGAATAAAAATGCTCTTCGGTTATGAACGACCGGGTTAAAATTGCATCTAATAACTTCGCTTTGTTTGTATTTAAGAATCTAGATTACTATCTAAAGAACACCTTTAAAATATTAAAATCGTTATAAGCCGCCAGGTTCATTGGGGTCCTAATTTGTAAAAATTATAAAGATACTTGCAACGACATTGACCTTGCCGCTATCCCGTCAGGTTTTATGACGTAACATCCTCCTTTCTCGAATTCCACTCAAGACGAATTCCAATCCCGGCGAATTCTACTCATGTTTGTTCCTGGTTTTTGCATGCTAAATTATGAAATTGAATTTGAAAGTTCCATATTTTATGTAATTATTCTCTACTACAACATTTGATTTTCTGCAAAACATATAAGCTATTATATATTTTTTAGAGAGGTGTTGTTGGTATGATAGAGACTATTAGCGCACAACCAACAGGTAACGACATTGTCCTCCTAGAACGACTGAATAAAACCATGAAAAAGAGGAAACGATACACAGGAAACAAAATAGGAACTTATTTTACTATACATCATACACCAGCTACCGTAAGTATTCGCCTGTCATTTTTATTTTCTCATTTTAATTTACCCAAAGTTGAAATATTACACGATTTATTTACCTTTTCTGGAACACCTAATTCCACCTGTGTATTTTCATCCGCTTTTCATAAATCTTTTATCAGTCCCAGTTGTAGGTGGTGTTAGGTTTATACATTACTCAAATTTAAACAGGTTATTAGGAACGCCATGCGACTATTACATTTCTAAATTCATCTGGTACTTCTCATTTTTCTCTAGGTAAATTATAGTGTTAATGATATCATCAGAAAGAATCGAGATAACGTACCAATAGTTATCAATGACGTCATGTCTAGAAGTACTAACCCTCTTGTTTCACAATTGTTCTCGGATACATCGTAAGTAATCAACTCTATTGTTTCACAATTCTTATCTGATACCAAAGTTAAACATACATTATGCAAGAGCTAATCTGCCTAATGCAGGTCTTTGTTTAGGCCTGAAATGTTATCTAAATTATTAATTAGACATTAATTAACTTATCCAGACCAGAATCAACTCTCGATGCCATCGCTAGCCCGCGATATTTACTGGATTTTAATACATTTTGTGATAGATGATTTAACGTCAAAATGGATATCCAAGACTTTGGGGGGTTTGGGGATGAGGGGGGGGGGCGGGCGGGGGGGGGGGGGGGGTATCGTACCGACTTTAGTAATGATGGTCGAGGTTAGGCCTAAAATTAATTCCCTAATATCTCAGTTCAGAGTAGAGTAATTTGATTGAAATTTTCAGCATTTTCTATTTTAGTAATCTATTTTTTGACTATTATAGCGAGAAACTTCAGCTTTTTAACTAATCTCCCATAATTCCTCTATAATGGAATACCAAAAGGGATTATTTCCCCAAAATGTATTTCTGATATTTTGATTTTCAGGAATGATAACCAGATGACTCTCTCCCAAAAGTATCAGGTATATATCTAACTTCTAGACCTATCTCTATAGATATAAATATATATATTATGATATTTTAAAAATATTAACATTTTACATAGATTAACGTCTAGACTTATGCTTATTACGGAACACATACAGAAGCTTCTTTATATTTGATAATATCTACTATCCAGATTTCACCTCTGGGATATCACGTCCAACCACATCTTTGATCTTGGGGGATATCGTCCTAATAGCCATAATTAGTGATACATCTATATATGTCATATGTTTGGTATGTACTGGAAAAATGGCGATACAGTTTAATGGTGTATATCCATCCCAAAGCTAGTTTTACTTCCAGTAATATGTTTTCTATTAATCTTTATATGCCTATTTCCTTACACACATTGTTGTCCGCCATAATTAGTCCCGACTGGAGCAGAAAAGTAAGACGTTAAACCCAATTTCATTCATCATTTCTTCTTTTTCAGCTGTCCAGTAGTAAGCTGATAGAAAAAATGAGTGGAAAACAGTTACATTTAATAAGGTTCGAAAAATCAAATATTATCACTGTTTAATCTGAATTAGCATTTAAATCATGTTTATGATACAAAATTTGCATAATTACAAGCCAGGTGAAATTCTGTTAAAGGCTCAATACCACTCTTGTTGTAACAGAATAATATGTCCCAATCTTTATTCTGGTCAACAAATTGGACTATTTTACAGTATTCCAATTAATTGATGATACAAATTTCATCTTAACACACCTAATTTAAAAAATTGAAAAAATTCAACTAAATGATTTGAAAATCCTAATGTAAACCTTTTCAAATGTGACTTGGATTTTAAAATATTTTCGGACCCTCTGGACAAGTAAAATAGGATGTAATGGATAATTTACACAACAGGTAGGACACTTAAACATCTAATATTTAGAATAAGGCTAATATTTATTTACTGGAGCTGTCAAGCCAGCAAGAGTGTTATTGTCCCTTTAATGTTTCGAAATTTCTTCTGTAGTATATATTTATACTATATTTATTTCTAGTTGCATCAAACCTAATCCTGGAACAGAGCCCGGTTATTTTGATCCTGCTTATGTAATGAAACAACTGGAGGTGACGTCAGCTATAGAACTAGTTAAGATCAGAAGAAATGGTTACTCAGTTAGATCGTCGCAAGATGACTTTCTCTATCGGTGATTATTTATTTGTGTTCATGTTTGACTACTGATTGTTCACTGCGTTGTGGAATGATCATCCCTAACATACACTTACTACTGATGGTCCGTGGCAGTGAAATAAGGTAAAAGCGTATCCGTACAGAAATAACAGCCATTCTCATAACCAGGCAGTATAATGTGTTTCGGAAAGCCAAAGCATACATCCTGAACTGTACAGAATGAAAACTATTTGCATACGAATAAAACCCGTCGACATACGGGGGGTTGGATGGCCGAATGGTTAGCGCGCTGTATCATAAGATCTGTCATTGAGTCAACTGGCGTGGTTTCGAGTCCACGGTTGTACGTGACAAGGAGTAGGGTCGCCTGTCCAACCTCATGGGTTTTCTCTGGGTCCTCCGATTTCCTCCCACTGCTAAAGATCCCTACGCACAAACGAATTATTGAAATAAAATTGAACCATGTGTTAGTCCCGAAATGACCTAGTTTGTGTCGAGTGGACGCCAAACCCCATCTCTCTCTCTCTCTCTCTCTCTCTCTCTCTCCATCGACATACCAAAAAGATTTTTCAGCTGCTTTGAGATCAGATACAAGGAAGAGATAATTTATATAAAGGGAGATAACTAACTTACTGAAGCGAGCTATGGAGGCAGACCACCATTAATTTCCCCATTGACTTCAATGTTAATTCTGGCCTCTTTGCCCACCTCCAACTTTTCCCCAAATTTTCGTTGGGCTGAATGCTTTCCACTACAGACAGATGAACAAATGGTCATGTCTTTGCACTAAAATTTGTATGAGGTTGACCACCAAAATTTTGAGATACACAAACTTGAAGAAGCATACTAAAAACATGTAACTAGTTACCGTACATATCGCCGTAGCTAACCTGATAACCCTCTTATCCTTCCGCCTCAAAATCATGAATATTTACCAAAACCTGGCAGAAAATGTTAATTCAAACCCTCTTCATCCATTCTAGACCAAAAAATCAACACAAATGGGCATGCAAAAGGGGAGAAAAGAGAGAGAGAGAGAATTGCTATAAATAGACGAACTACAATTCGTGGGTACCGAGATGATGAAATTTAATGGTGGTCTGCCTCCCAATGAAGTCTCGTACTATTTCTATTTCTCTCCCGAATAATATCCATGTTAAAGCCATGTAATTCCTACAAATAGAATGGCTATAAATAGACGGAATTCCTTAAAATCAAGGGCAATAAGTACAAGCCTTAGTCCATAATGTTATTATTTCTGGTTTCAGATATAAGTTTATAGGACTGCCATTGACAGCCAGTATTAGATCATTACCAGAAGCTTGTTGTCGTATTATACAACGATGCGGTTTAACATCACCTCATATTTTAGTAACCAAGTCTATGGTAAGTCTTCAGGACATTTACACACTCTATGGTAAGTCCACGGGACAACTGGTCGTAACATAGTTGCCCACTCAGTCCCAATGGTAAGTCTTTAAGGGGTGGTACTCTTCGCGTTTAGTTATTCACTGCACCACTAGAGGACTTCGTGATCTACGGGAATGTCGCCCGACCAAAGTGAATACGATCCGACCCAACTAAACACCACTCGTCCTAAATGACGATCGTCCGACTCACGGACAATTCTGAGTATTGTCGCAGTCGTGCCAGATGTCTCAGCGAGAACCCCTTGCCACTTCCTATTCTAATAAGACATACGTCTTTGATTTTCTTAACTATATGACTTTGAACGTAATAGACTTAAAGTATAATATGTAGTCTCAGCTTCATACTATTTTTGAAATAATAAATCTTCCATATTAAATTCGCCTTATCTGAGATAGACATGTTTAACTTTCAACGTAAGACCAGTTCAAATGGATCAAAAATAAACGAGGTCACGTGCACACCTTGGCATGCACGTAAAAGAACCCTGTCCGGTCAACGGTGTCCTCATAGCACACTGCATAATGCCCGTCTCCATTAGCCCGGTTGGAGCAGAAAAATAGGACGTTAAACCCCAGTGCATTGTTTCATTCATTCATACGATTCTTACATATTTGTCTGTTTTTTGTACACTTTACTGTAAGTTCTTAATACTAAGAGTCTAATATCGTCTAAATATGATGTTATGCAAAGTTAATTACAATTATTTTGGTCGTTAAAGCAGCATATTCCTGAAGCAATGACCCGAGAAATCCCTCTCTGGCCATTGCTGGATTAGCGTCTGATACTTGCGCTTTTGATTGAGTGTGTCTATTCTTCCCGTTCAATCACATCTATCCCCAAGCACAGCAACATGACAGCCCTTCATTTAATCAGGGGTCTTTCCTAAAACTTTGGACAGTGATTTAAGATATTGAAAACGGTGAAAGTGTTGTTCAACTCAACACAGTATTGTTTACATTATATTCGTGCCATGGACCTTATAATCGTGCTGATAGCCTCGTTTGTCACACAATTAGTTTTTCTGCAATATTCTGCTATGCACTCGTTAATTGGGCATAATAAAATCGTGAGTCATGACGTAACGTTATGTAAACATATTTGGTCCAATTTGGAGCTCTGTTTGGTATTGTAAGGCAGTTAGCTATTGGTTGTTAATCGGACTATTGACCAGTCATAATTTAGAACAAGAATTTGCTTTCTTTACAGCAGTGAGTAGTGGGATTATGTATAATCAAACGAAACACTGCGAGTAGTATGTTAAAGCAGTGGTGTCATATTTTCTCTCTGTCTGTTTACTCCAGGTATTTATGCAGTATTACCATGTAGACAGATTAAATGAACGTTTAGCTGAAGAAGTTAGAAAAGTTATTATAGTACAGAGTTGTATCAGGCGATATTTCGTTCTTAAATTTATACGTCGTCTTTTACGTAGATCTGGTCGCAGAGACTTTACAAGACAGGTAATGTAATAATTTATTAAAAAAAAAAAAATAACTCCAGGGCTCCAACTCAAAAATACAAAATTATGATGATCAAGTATTTTGACAAAACTCTTTCGTCTACGGAATCCATAATGATCAATTATCGAACAACCGAACACAAACAGCGGTATTTTTGGGTAAAGAAGGCTAGATTATGTATTTTATTTGTTGTTTAGGAGAGACATAGTAGACGAGATGACCGGGGATATTATGGTGGAAGATCTAGAGATCAAATAAGGTAACTTTACACATATACTATGATTTACACTATAGCTATTTATTTATTTAAAACGACTAGTTTCGATTTAATTAATTGTGTACATAAAGAGTGTGCCCCGTCGCTAATAGAAATAGCACACCAGATCAACACAGTTCAACAGTTTAATTTACATAAATCAAAGTGGTTTTAAAAGCGGCTTTAATGTTATGTTTTCGAGTAAAATTGATTTAAAATACGCATTACAGTAGCATTGCGCGTGTGGAAATCATTTCTGGATTATTGTTAATTTATTAACCCAGACAAGGAAAGATGACGATACATTTATCAAATAAGATACCCATTTAAAACTATTTCAATATGTCTTTATACTATAAATATGACTTTCTAAATTTTATTCTGCGATGGTAGCGCTTTATTATCCCAACCTTAAAGTTCAATATGCCAAATTAAATGTAACGTTTAGAGTATGAAACCACACACACAAACAAATGAATTTTTATTTCTTAAAGCACATACGGTCCAAAAAACTTTCAAGGTCATAGTCCTTTAAAGTTTATATTGTTTTCTATTGATTTTACATCGCAATCTGCATGTGTGCTAGACAAATGTAGTGATAATAATTATGATTTTTTGTTTTATTTTGGTGCAATTCAGACTATCCAGATTAGCCAATTTAAATATAATAACAACATTGATTACCTTACGAAAGTACATATTGTTATACTTTTACGATATGTATGCGAACACTATTGGGGTTTTTTTGTGGCTTTAATAATGCCAAAACAAAAGGTTGATATTGGTTGTAAATAATTTTTGTACGCAGTTAATGTACTGTATATTTATGTATTAACAGCCGTCGAGATAATGGTTATACTAGAGAGGGGTATTTTAATGGAGAAGAATATAATTCTGTGATACCATCAACTTTAACAGGACTCACAAGATTTTACCAGGTACACCAACAGGATGATAATTTTAACTCGACTTTCCATTTTAATATATACATTATTCATTGTCTGTAAAGCTGAATTAATTAATAAATGAATGAAATACAATTTGAATAAATAAAATAAAATAAAATAAAATTATAAATAATTTATAAATAATTAATTAATTACTTTATTTATGTATTTATTTATTTATTTATGATTTTACTTATTTATCATTTATTTTTATTTGTTTGTTTAAAATTTTATTTTATCTATTTTGATTATTAATTTTATTAATACATTTATTTATTTATTTTTTTATTTTTTTTTATTTTTTTTTAATTTTATTTTTATTTTAATTATTTTTTTTAATATTTTATTTTATTTTATTTTATTATTTTATTATTTTATTATTTTATTTTATTTTTTTTTTTTTATTTTATTTTATTTTATTTTATTTTTCTATTCGATTTCATTTATTTATTTAACCAAATTCATTTATTCAAATTGTATTTTATGAGAAAAATTATATTTTTCATGGGAGTGAATTTATCACATCAACCGTGGCACATTTCAAGTTGTATTTCATTGGGCTGCATTAAACACAAAGGGCCTATAATTAAATCGCGGTTAGTAATATAGGATTCATGTTTATATTGAATAGGACAAAGTAGACCCTGTTTTACTTCGCCGATTTTAAACAGATAGATGGTATTTAATCTTTACTAAGCCGTGTTCCCATTAACAAATTTCCTTTTGTAGGATCAACTAGATCGTGTATTAGAGAAAAGAAACAGCCTGGACCCCATCACGTGGTGTAAACTGGTATATTTAGAGAGAGATAAAGAATTGGCCAAATTTTACATCACAGAACATGATATACGAATAGACGGCAGCCATGAGGAGTATGATGTTCAAAATATAGGCCTTGGTATTTTCCGTAATCCGATTCGTGATGACGAGACCCGAGCAATTAGATCGTACATAAGAGAGGTAACGTTGATAATGAAAAAAAAAACTTATGTATATATATTATATGTTCTTCCTAATAAGAGAAACAGGGCCAAACCAGCACTTCCCGTTTAAGTGTGTTTAAGGTAAACACAACAGTTCTATGGATAACAATTACTATATTTCTATAAAGCTACGTTTCAACAATGATTCTCTTGTCGTTATCAAGCACAATACTGATACAGACAGAAGGAACGAAATATATATACAATGTACAATCCAAACATTCAATGAAACCATAAATTAGGAGAACAGTGACCTTTGATCTTGATGATAAAACCATGTGCATTAAGGTCTCGTCGGCGACAATTTTTCGGACAGATCATTCATTGCACACTGTACCCATCTCTCATCGCTGCAAAAGTTCCCTCGCTTTCAATGCAACATTTATTGCTAAACACGACGGTCTCCATCAACCACTTAATAATAACCATATTATAAAGTATGTATATATAAATATCATTCATGTGTCGTACTGCAAAATCGCCACAATATTGGCTCTTGTTTATTGACTGGCTATCTGGTAAAGTTAGGATTAACGTCCGCTACCACAACCAATGTAGTTGTTTTTATTACAGGGATTGACTTTAAAACGAGATCCGGACGGAAATATATGGGCAACACGTCATTGCGACGAAGATATAATTGTCCATGGTTACAGAGATCCAGCCAATCACTGTCTATCTGCTGATATCATCATAAACCGTGGCAGGATTCCCTTCAGAAATCCGATAAAGGTAAGGAAGTTAGTATTTGTAATAGCATGATTGTCAGCCAATGATCATGCTTACGACAGGATAAACTGAAAAAAGGTTGCTCAATTTTCACCATCGTCGTATCCCCAGGGGTATCGTTCCGTTCTACTCCACTAACCCCTGGGACCATTCACGGTGTTTTATGTATTCAAATTACCTGCCCTTGATGACATTGGCCACATAGTTTGATTCTACGAACCAATCAAAATACAGTTTACATACCAGTCTTAGTGTCATTATTCACGTTCACCACAACAAAAGCAGCTTGTGCGCTCGATTATGAGAAGGATTGCAAGAAATGTAATGTCAAAGAAGTGACATGCACATACAACGATGTCCTAAAATATACTATTCAAAAAAAGTAGGGGATATTTGATTTTTAAGTGTTATTAAAGTCACCTAATGAAACTGACGAAGAAACAAATGACAAAATGAAATAAAGTTCACATTCATCGATTTATTCCAAATGATCGCTAGACTAAGTAAGGCACAGACTGACCATTATAAGGGTAAAATGATACCCGGGGTCAAACAGCAAAGTTACCACAGCATCAAAACCAAGTCAGTAACGGGTAAATCCTCCTCTGTTTGCCAAACAAGCATTGATCCGACGTGGCATACTCCTAATGAGACGTTTAAGGTCATTTTGGTCCAGATTGTCCCATTCCTGTTGCAACGCAGCAGCAAGTTCTTGGACATTGGCAGGACGTTGTTGACGTTGACGTAACCTCTGTCCAAGCATGTCCCAGACATGCTCGATGGGGGAGAGGTCGGGACTCAGTGCTGGCCAAGGTAATGTGGTGATGTTCTGTTGTTGGAGGTAACCTGTAACGATCCTGGCCCTGTGACATCTTGCGTTGTCATCCTGGAAGATGAAACGGCGGCCATGACGTCGTGCGAACGGCACAACATGGACTGCCAAGATGTTGTCCCGGTAGTACTGGCCTGTAACACGCCCTGCAACAACATGTAAAGCCGTTCTTCCAGCAACAGTGATGCCTCCCCACACCATAACAGAACCACCCCCAAATCGATCATGTCTGATGACGTTAACGTCTTGGAAGCGCTCGTTTTGACGACGCCACACCCTCCTACGTCTGTCCAAAAAATCAACAGTGAACCTTGACTCATCTGAAAACATCACATTGCTCCAGCGTCGATTATCCCAGTGTTGACGATCCCTACACCAACGACGTGTTGCCTGGATGTGATGATCTCTCAAACAAGGGATCACGCGAGGACGTCGGGCGCGAAGGTGACCCCTATGCAGTCGATTCCGAATCGTCTGGCCACTCACTCTCACACCAGTGTCTGTTTGAAGACGAGCGCTGATCTGATTTGCTGTGATGACACGATTTCTCAAGGCCAAGGTACGGATAAATCGATCCTGGGCTTGAGTTGTCGCCCTTGGTCGACCTGAGCGTGGTCTGTCCTGTACAGATTGTGTATCACGGTATCTGGACCATAGCCTGCTTATGACAGACTGAGAAACATTCATCGTCCGCGCCACAACCGCCTGTGTTGTGCCGATCTGTAGCATGCCAAGGGCACGTAACCTTTCATTTTGGGTAAGCCGACGCATATCAAAATTTGTTTTCTGGTCACTAAAACAATTAAACTGATGTTTCCACCCTGGAATTCAATGCCACAATGACTGTAACATTCAAAGTCAGAGTCGTGCAAATCTTAAGCATCACCTGCATTCCATGCGGTAGCTATTGGTGCGTTTGGGCGTCACATGTAACTGGAAATGTTTCTTCTGTTAGGTTCTATAGTGACTCTTTTCGTAGTCATTTGCATATTTTAGTATTATGCCCCAAAATCAAATATCCCCTACTTTTTTTGAATAGTATATTTTGACAAAGATAACTACAATGATTTGGCGATCTTAACCTTAGTTGCATTAAAATGCGCGTTACTTCCTTTCGCCCACTCACGAATCTTTTGATTGTTCGTTAAAAATAGCACAATTATCAAGGGCGGATAATTTGACTATGTGTCTCCTCATACTTTGCCTTTTACGCGATATCCGTCGCTATTCATAGTTAACTGGATCGATAGATATGCCTTAAATGGAATGAAAAGCAGTTTAGCGACCTACTTTTCTGCTCCAAGGACCCGATGTCATACGAAGGGAGCTAGACGATAAATTCAAAGCTCAAATCCTACATCAGAGTTACCATCACAGCGATATATAATGAAATGCAAAAGTACAAATCAATTTATGTTAGATATGCCAACTCTTGAAATGAACTAGATGTTGTATCAAGTTTTCAAGAGAGTGTGCGGTAATCAATTCTGCATTTTTCTTCTTTTTTTTCTCCAGATATTTGACGTAAATGAACTAAAAGGCCATATAGGTCTAGAGATGCAGTCATCCATGTTTAATAAAGATCGACTTCTACATCTGTGTATCGTCTGTTTGAGTTTTGTTACCGAGGGAAGGGAAATGTTAGAGACGCCATGTTGGTTGTGTGTAATAAACCTAATTGCTATAGATATGGTGGAAAGTCCGGGTGGTATGTAATATATTTAGTTTCTTTAATCACCGACCCTATTCGGCTTCGTTCTATTTATTATCATAAACGAATAAAGTATAAAAATGGCACAATACCATACCCAAGGTAAAATGAATTCTGTTCAACAATGCTAGGACAGTCCCAGTGGCTTAGTGGATAAAGTGCTACCTAGGAGACCAGGGATTCGATCCTGGTGTTGGATGAGAAAGTTACCCGGGATTTTCCAAACTGGTTTCTCCTTGTCAGTGGTGCAGGACGGGGACCTGGCAAAGATAGCTTCTATTCTTTCGGATTGGGGGAGAACGTAAGAGAACCTTTGACAGTAAGTCGTAGTGCCACTGTCGGGACAAAATTTCCCTCATAGCACACTGTATAGCGTATAACCATCTTCATTAGCCCAGTCTGGCAGGCTGTTAAACCCCCATTACATTCATTTCAACAATGTTAGTTTCAGTTCACCTGTTGTTGTTTTTTTTTACATACTAATATTAAGAGAAACACAGAACAATCTAACACAATTAAAACCACCTTGTTAGTCTATAAATGGTGTAACTAGACTTTATATTTGATCTTGTAGTTCTTAAAGAAGTACAAAACCACCTAACACAGTTAAAGTTAGAATCTAGAGACTATCGAGAAATACGACAGGAAGAAAATATATTACACAATGAAATAAAACAAAGGGTAAGCCATCAATAAAATATATTTATAATCCGATAGAGAGTGTTAGCGATGTATTTATGCCTAGGTCCCACTGGCGAAAAGCCATCGGCGATGAGGAAATAAACAAATTTTCTCCCGGTGGTTCCCGATGGTTCCACATAACTCAATGTTTCTACCTGTTCCTGACGCCTCCCGAGGTTCATCAATTTCCAAAAAAAAAATGCCCAGTGGGACCTAGGCAAGGCATAATAGTAGTAGTGATTGGATGTATACAATTAGATACTTGTTTCGAGATATCAAAGATGCATTATGTAGGTTTAGATGAAGAGGTGGCCCCGTTCTTGCTAAGGTAGTTCAAAAATATATAATGAAAATTGAATATATTGAAAATTTCAGCCAGATTACATTAAAATTATGAATGTTTGAAGTTTTGACAAGAAATATCATAATTAGCCGCTATTTTAAAGATACATTATGGGAGATTCTCACTATAATAGTTAAAAATAGATAATGTAAAGACGATTTGCTGAAAATTTCATTCAAATTGATCCACTATGAACCGAGAACAAAGCGATTGAATTTACGCCTAGCCTTGATCATCATTACTAAACTCAGTACGATAAACAGCATAGTCTCGATTATCCATTTAATCGTTAAATCGTGAAGGAAAGTTATGCAGTAAATCGGCTCACAATCCATTAAAGATCGCGGGCTAGCGATGCCATCTAGAGTTGATTATGGTCTTGATAAGTTAATTAATGTCTAATTAATAATTTAGATAACATTTCAGGCCTAAAGAAAGACCTGCAATAGACAGATTTAGCTCTTGCATAAAGTATATTTAAGTACCACTGCTACGATAATAAACGTAGTCTCTATTTTGCATTTTAATGTTTACCAAAGATAGCGCAGACATTTTTTTAATCCACTATATATCGCGACCATCCGATGTTCTAGAGAGTTGATTATGTGCTTTATGTCAATAAATGTCTACATAATAATTTATGACATAAAATAACTCCCTCATTATGCAGTTTTAGCTCCTACATAATGCATCTTAAAACGGAAGTCAGTTTGTTTACTAATTTTAGTTTTGTCTCATGTTTGGCCTACACTGTCGACGTTGAAATGAAATAAGCTATATCCCAACATTGAATCTATCTTTAAAACCCAATTTTAGATCCAGACAGATGCATACGAGACAAATCAAAATAACACACAGAACTGTTACCCAAATCATAATTTTATCTTTATAAATTAAGGATTTTGTTTTCCAGCATCAGCGGCCATCATGGTCTAAATCAAATCAAAGGAAATCCCTAGAGTTCCGTGAATCCTCACCTTCTAAACTACGTATGGAACTGAGAAAAAAGGGACAACCTATCAAACAACACATGAACTATAGTTGGAATGAACAATACCAAAGTAAGTAGCTTTACATATGTAAACACGCCTTATGACAGGATAAAAAGTCAAATATAAGTATAATATGGTTGAAACATTTATTTCGTGACATATCTAAGGTATCGGCTGTGGCACCTAGTTTGGTGGTTACCTCTGGTCATAAAAATGCTTCAAAACTCTAAATTTCCATGTGTGGATTTGCAGCTCATTAATTATATGTGGGGATGGAACTGCAAAGATTTTAAGTTTAATTGTCGTCGATTTTCTTTTCAGATAAAAATAAAAAGTCGTTGGAAGAGTTACAGAATCAATTCTCAGACGAGACACCAGCAGTCGATTACTATGATCAGTCTTACGCCAGGGAGCAGCCATATAACCAACGTAGCATCCAGTTAAACGGGCGAGAGGGATACGGTCAATCACAGCGTAAAGATTGGGCTAAGATCAAGGTTCATTTGAAAAAAGATGACGCACGTTTAGAACATGAATATCAGTATGATAGAAGGCCGTCTCATATCATGTATTAATAACAGACATTATTGGGTAATTTCCCTCTTTGATATTGTAATATAAACGGGTGACGTCATAATATCAAAGGTACCACATTGGGGCCATAAACCTTTAGCTATAATTAAGGTAACTGAAACGTGTGACATAAGTGACAGTAACAGCTCGAGTTGGATTGGATGTGCAGTATTGGTGTACTGGTTGTTTTATGTACTACTAAGCAGCAAGAGTTACAGTCTGATAGACGTCATGTACCTTTAATTTATGGAAAAGAAGCAACCCTGCAACCAAAATAACGACATCAAGTAAATAAAACCGGAGCCTTGTTAGCCTTAAGTTACCTATATAGATTTAGCGATCATAAATTATACGAAAGGACGTCCAACATGATGTGATTGAATAGCAACTACGTTGACTTTAATTGCGGTATACCCATTTGATTTGGCTGAAAAAAAATCCAAAATTAGCCCACTTAGATGAAGAACAAGAAATCGCGTCAAATCGAAACTTATTTTTTTACCGCCCGGCAGAGATCTCATAAGTTCTCTTTAATATTATAGTTCGTACTAACTATCTGTATGAATTCTGCTGTGTTTAAAGTTGCTCATAGTCAAGGTATTATGCATTTTTCATACAATATTTTTTTTTACACTCTGATATGTATTTGACATTTAATCAAGAAATCAAACAATCAACGGTAGAAAATCTCCAGGCTTGGATTTAACGGGATTAAAATTGGGCCCATTAGACAGGTGGCACTGTATGTTGACAAATTGTCAATCCACCATCTTATTATGTTAGTACATACAGAAGGGAATTAAACCATGTATACATTGATGTTCATATTAGAAATTAAACTTTCACAATAATGTAGTTTGTAATGGATTGACAATCGCCTAAATGACGACCAGATACTATAATATTTTGTTTTTAAAATTTCTTACTAAATGTTATTATGTAATTATTTAATAAAGAGTACACAACTACATGTACACAAAATGGTTGCGCCAATCACCACCGAATCACGTAAATTTGTATTTTGCTTCCGACTATATTGGCGCAACCATTTTGTGTACAGTTTTAATCAAGTGCAATTTAATTCAGATCACTTAAGATACAATTTCAATTATACTAAAGTATGTATGATTTGCAAATCAAATGTTATAATCTGCAATAACTGATTTGAAAAATGTATGAAAACGTATGACTCTTCATCGCTCACAAATATGGCACCCATAAAATGGCAGAATGTGAGGGTGGCGATTTAATATTCAAGTATTAGAATGTAAAAAATAAACTTTATTTTAAAAAATATAAGTATCCTTGATTGGAAAATAGAATAATTAATAAATAATGATTATATTATATTACCAGGAATTGTATTATTTTATTTGACATTAATTCCATTCTCTGTAACTATTATGGTGTTACTCCATTGTCTTATATTAATATGATATGAAGAGGTCCGAGAGAACAAAAAGCTTTAGCCAAAAGTTTGTTTTTGTTTCTTTTTTCAATGTAATATATTTATCTGTGAGTAGTTCAAAGAAATTCTTTGAGGGCCACGATCACATAACAACTGAAGCTCCACGTATACGACAAACCCGCGGACAAGATACACGGTGCATGAACACGGCGAGCAATAAAAGGGGTTACTATATTTTGACTGACATTACAAATCGAAATGGTGAAATCAAATTGTGGTCTGCTTCCGTCTAAGACAGTATGGAGGTAGACCACCATTAATTTCCCATTGAGTTCGATGTTAATTCTGGCCCGGCGCCAACTTTTTCCAAAATTTTCGTTGGGCTGAATGCTTTTCACTATAGACAGGGAAACAAATGGTCGTGTCTTTGCACCAACATTTGTATGAGGTTGACCACAAAATTTTTAAGATACACAAACATGAAGTAGCATACTAAAAAGATGTAACTAGTTGCCGTACATATCACCCTAACCAATTTGATAACTCTGTTATCCTTCCGCCTCTAAATCATAAATATTTACCAAAACCTGACAGAAAATGTTAATTCAAACCTCTTTGCAAAAGGGGAGAAAAGAGTCAGAGAGAGAGAATTGCTATAAATAGACGAGCTACAATTTGGCGAAATTTAATGGTGGTCTGCCTCCGTATGTTATGTGGTTGCCTCCCTTTAAACATTTCTTCATTGCAAGGAAATATAATTAACGTCGTACGTTTCTGCACCAACTCGAGCTGATGAAGAGGACATGCGCCATGCTATGGTGGACAGTGGCGTTTCCGTCTACTCTACGTCGAAATTTCACTGTCGATGGCCCTTTTTACGTGCACGCACGTCGACGTGAACACGGAACCTCGGTTTTTTGTTATAAGCGAAAATCAGACTGAAAAATCCCAACTTTCTCGTCCAACACAGGAACATCTTGAATGGTTAGAGGGTGGCGAATGGTTTAAAGTGTGCGCGTTAAATCACAGGGTCTGGCGTGGTTGCGTTGCGACTTTTTTACTTGTACGTGACAAGGAGTAGAGTCGCCTTTCTAACCTCGTGGGCTTTCTCCGGGTCCCCACACACACACGTGCACACACACACCCACACCGCTAAGGACCCCTACGCGCAAGCGAATTATTGAAATAGAATTGAACCGTATACGCTAGTTCCGAAATTACATAGTTTGTGTCCACTGGACGTTACCCTCTCTCTCTCTCTATTTCTCTCTCTCTCTCCTGGATGGCGAGTCTACGCCTTACTCCCTTATAGTCACCGTGTGGATGAGCTGCCAATCGAATTTTTCGTCTAAAATTTCATATGGCAAATCGAACATATTTTATGAAAATGTGTATATGTAGCACCATGGGCCTTTCTGTCTGACATGGAGAGCGGGGTAATGGCAGACAGGTCGCCACATCCTACGTACGACCCATGCATCCTTTCTTACTACATATTTCAGTAGCCTTGTGATCGTCTAGAATTTGTCTCTCTAGCTGTCTTTACTTCTGCTTCACGGTGTGTATTTACTTCTTACAGTTTTCTTAAGACGTTTGTCTTACCAGGAATAACAATGCAACAGTTCGCTTCTACATTTTATATATATATATACATAGCCGAATGCATGTATATAAGCATAATAGATAACAATACTAGCTAAAACCATTTCTCCACCCTAGCTAGCCTCGCGGCTGTCTAGGAACTCAGATGGAACCTCTCTGGAATCTAATGGAAGTCTGCTTGAAAGTTTCAAATAGATATCTTATATAGCACTCACGTATATCACGCATGAAAGAGCATGTTCATGGCCCTGAACTTGTGTAATTAACAAAATGATTGGTTAAATTAAACCCAATGACGCAATAGTACTTTTCCTTGCACACGTGCTCTCTGTGGTATTTTATAGACACATGTTTTGGCTAAATAACTCTTTTTTATATAACAATATGTCATTTATACCCGAAGTTGATTTAGCACACACTATATATAATATATATGTGAATATAATGAAATGAAATGAAATGGGGTTTAACGTCCTACTTTTCTGCTCCTAACCTGGGCTAATGAAGACGGGCATACGCCATACAGTGTGCTATGAGGGAAATTTTGCCCGGACAGCGGCACTACGGCTTACTCTTATATCGAATTCCAACTGTCAAGGGTCTTTTACGTGCACGCCAATGTGTACACGGGACCTCGGTTTTTCATCCCATCCGAACGACTAGACAGCTTTCCTTGTCAGCCCCTCCGTCCTGCATCACTGACAAGGGAGAACCACGCCGGAAAATCTGGATGAACTTTCTCGGCCAATGCAGGGATCGAACACCCGACCTCCAGGCTAGCGAGCTAGCGTCTTACCCACTTAGCCACGTGATCCCCTATGTGAATATATGTGAAACTATTAATTTGCCAAATATATTAATTAATGAAATATAAAGTCATCTTATTTCTCTATTCTTTGTCTAGAAATTTAAAAACAATGTCGCCACGACTATATTGCTTCATATATTGCCGCAATTATCTGGCTTTGATATTGTATAAATATAATTTAAATATGTCAGATCTAACTGTATAGTGGAACTATGTCAAATCGAAATCATTTTTTATAACCAGTCAAAACATCCAAAATATGGAGAAATCCCGGGCTAGTGGATGAAAAAAAATTAATTATTTCAAGATTCCCGAGGAAATGAAATGAAACGAAATAGGGTTTAACTTTCGATGTTCTGCACTTGCTGGGCTTAAAAAGACGCGGGAGTTCTAAGGAAGACTTTCCTATGCTGGTGCCCAGACTGAGTGAAAGCTTCAAGATGGCATTCAATCTGTCATTATTCTGCAGTGTGGTTAACGTTCGTTTTATAAAATAGAAATGAAATGAAATGGGGTTTAATGTCATACTGTTCTGCTCCGACTGGGCTAATAAAGACAGGCATAAGTCATACAGTGTGCTATGAGGGAAATTTTGCCCGGACAGAGTCGCTACGGCCTACTCGAATTCGAACTGCCAAGAGATCTTTTACTTGCACGCCAATGTGTACACGGGACCTCGGGTTGTCGTCCCATCCGAACGACTAGACTGCTGTCCTGGTCAGGCCCTACGTCCTGCACCACTGATAAGGGGACACAATGCCGGAATTTATAAAATAGATGAAAACATATAATAACAAAAAAAATGTAAGTAATATAAAACATTCAAATGGGAAGTGGTATCAAGAGTTCTAGAAGTAATAAGTCTACCATTTTCTCTCAATTTACGACCCATCATTCTAGACAGTTGAAAAATTTGCCTCGTCTACAGTATGTAAAGATATAGATGATCTTTTTGGTACTCTTTTTTCTTTTAGGAGAGAGAGAGAAATGGGGTTTAACGTCCACTCGACACAAACTAGGTCATTTCGGGACTAACATATGGTTTTAATTTTATTTCAGTAATTCGCTTGCACGTAGGGGTCTTTAGCAGTGGGGGGAAACCGGCTTTTCTTTTAGGAAATTATAGTACCACGTGACTGTTTCGGAGGAATATTGAGTTTAGAAAGTGAAATAGGGTTTAACATCCTACTTTTCTGCTCCGAGCGGGCCAATTAGGACGGGCAAACGCCATGTAGGGGACATGGGGGCTAAATTCATCCTTTTGAAAAATATGTCAATAGGATGCAGTAACAATCAAAACAGCTGATTTAAAACTGTTTTCCTAATAATGTTCATTATATATTTGACAAATTAAAAGATGTATTTATGTGTCTATATATTATGATGACGTGTTAACTATTTGAATAATCTTGTAATCCAATGTAAAATATCACATACAAACATTATGGTTAAGTAAAGGAGTTTAGTAAGCAGGCATTAGTTACAAATTATTATACAGATGTAAAAATGTAAAACAGAATATTGGAGACCGGCGATTATGAAATGGTGTTTAACGTCCTACTTTAATGCACCGACTGGGATAATGAAGACGACCATACGTCATGCAGTGTGCTGCGAGGGTAATGTTGCCCGAGCAGCGGCGCTTCAGACTACCCTTATATCGAATTCCAGTTGTCAAGGGCTCTTTTACGCGTAAGCCCTACGACCTGCAAAGCTAAAATGGAGGAAACTTGATCGAAACTTCTCGGTCAACAGTGAATTTCAATGAACTATTTAACATTAAATAATTTCTGTTCATGTATGTATAGATGATGTAATTCAATACAATTTCAAAAGAATATAAAAAATCTTTGATTGTCGTATAATTATAATGTCAATGGTTTCAATATGTACAGAAATAGAATAAATCATTCAGAATTACTCAGACGAAACGCGTCAATAACGTGCGCTCCCATTTAAAAATTTTCTGGGGTATTGGATGGCCGAATAGTATTATAAGGTATGTCATTGAGTCAACTGGCGTAGTTTCGATCCCCCAGTTGTACGTGATAAGAAGTAGGGTCGCCTGTCCAGCTTCCAGGATTTTCTCCGAGTCCTCCGGTTTCCTCTCACTGCTATTGCACCCTGCACGTTTCAAGTCAGTAGCTTGAAGCGTATATATGGTATTAGTGTCAGTGGCTTGTGGCACGAAGTAACAGTATATTGTCGCATACATAATATATTATGTCAACGCTTGGGCGACATAATATATTGTGTTGACGCTCCAAGCGTGTTAGCATATTAGACCTGTAGACTCAGTGGAATGTACGCGTCATCAGAGCCATAGAAAATGTCCCTGTAAATAAAAGAGGGCATCCTTATCAGAAAAAGGGCACCTGTGATGTCAGAATTTCAAAAAAGGGCACTTTTCTTTCGGATTAGGGTTAGGGTTAGGGTTAGGGTTAGGACACAGAAAAGAGAGAAAAAAACAGAAAAGAAAAAAACAAGCATTCATTGGTTATCAAAGCGCCAATTAAATCTATCGTTGCAAGTTCATGCCTAGTCACCTCCATCCTAGTTCCAAGCGTTGACATAATATATTATATCGCCCAAGCGTTGACATAATATATTATGTATGCGACAATATACTGTTACTTCGTGCCACAGGCCACTGACACTAATACCATATATACGCTTCAAGCTACTGACTTGAAACGTATCGCCTGGCTATTGACTCTACGCGCGCAAGCGAATTATTGAAATAAAATTGAACTATATGTTAGTCTCGAAATGAGTGACCCTTCAACCCTCTCTCTCTCTCTCTCTCTCTCTCACTCTCGTAAACTTGTTTCTATATTATACTGTAAATACAATATGCACCTTAAAGAAGCTAAATCAGTAATATTTGGGACCTAGAAATGGGTAGCAACGCATATAATAATGTTATATGAATGTATATAAACTGATTACATTCAATCATTTATGTTTTTACTATAGTTTCAATCAGTTATGTTCGGTGAAATATGTCAGGAGTCTCAATCGAATCACAATCTCTAGCGTCTGGTTGTTCCAGTCTACACCGAAACTATTTATTGCGCATGCTCTCTAGTCTCTATGTCTAGCCTCGGTCTTCGAGTCCCTTGTTAGAAATGGCGCTGAAATGCATTACGGTACACGATTAATGTACCCATGGTAAAATTTTTATTTTGTTTTAAATATTGCATATATATCAGAAGCCCATCTTTTTTCCGGTAAGATCACAACAAATAATTCGTGTTTTCATTGTCGAAGACTTTGGATGATATTGAATTACACACTTAACTACTTTAAACATTATATTGGATTAACATCTTTATTTAAATAGGCAGAAAGAAAATAGGTGTGTTTACGGTTGTTAAATCGAGTATTCATAGTGCAATGCAAAATGTATTGTACCTATACCATTAACATTTCACATGTCGTATATGGATGTTTAACAACTTCAATATGGGTAAAGGAGGTATGTGATATATAACTAATTGAAAACCATAGGGTCGGCGATCGATAGAATGTCGATCAGGTAACCATAAACACATAATTTTATACTTCATTATTTGGCCTTGTCAATGTCATTGCGTCTTCGGGCGTTGACGATTCGATGCGCTTGATGGATTAATAAAATCGCTACGTGTAAACCATTTTACTGAGCACTGGAACAGGTAGCTTGCTGGGATGTAATTATGGATATAGGTCTGGAGATATCGGAATAAAATTTACCATTATGTATTCAAGTAATTAATAAGGTAAGTGCTTGTGATACTGTATATTTGCATTGTGTTCTATTTTTAGTAAAATAGATCATGTAGGATATACAATTATATGTAGGTCACTGATACTGTCTAGAGGTGCATAATAATTCATCTCAATAGTGCTGCAGTATGGAAAGTAGGATGTGAGTCCAAGTGATACCTGTATACTCTTATATTATATGAATTACTTGTATCTATATATAGTTGTAAACCGTTGTATATAACTTAAAACCAATGAATACAGCCTATGTCCAGAATGTTACGATAAAATGTATATAAAACTCATTACCCAACGACAATAACAAAACTTTAACAATTTGATCAATGAATGAATGAAATATGAAATTGTTGATGGTATGTAACCATCATTTATATAATGTATATAGCCATCTAATTATTTTGACTATACAAACAAAATTTCATAGTTTTTTCAATATATATAGTTTTGTTTGTATATGTTTATGGAGTCTATAGGCTTAAAAGGGGTGCTATTTGTAATCCATGACACGCGGGCTATTGGCAAGGAATGGACTGTAAATAAACGAAGCGTTTCCGACTGAGGTGGTATCGGCTACTGTTTAAAGTGAATCAAATTAATTGCCCACATTTTAAGAACGATACTGACATTTAGAAAGCAATTAACCAATAAGAAAGTAATTGTCTTATAAGAGACCATTGGTTTGTTAGCAGTCAATTGTCTGACACAGTGAGTATATTAGATTAATAGCTTAATAACAGTTAAATATAGTGTTTAAGATCTTATGTTATCAAGAAAAGTACTTTTATTAAAAACAGTCTGATCCAAAAAGTATTCAAATTGACAAATTCTACTTTCAATTATAACAAATGTATGCTAAGATTTGGAATTTAATGTATTTTTCTTCCCGTAAATAACATGGCCAAATAGGAAAGCAAACTATTACTAGGTGTCCTTGAAAGGATAACACTTCTTTGATTTTTGATTAATAATAAATAAATAAATTACACTTAATGACCACTAGATGGTAAATAAGCATTTTAGTTAATTAAATTTAAACGTAAATAAGGTCTGGGTGGTTTTCTTTAGATACTAATTCAGACGATTACGATCATCCACAATACCCCCTCCCCCCACACACAAACGCACATAATCCAAGGTTTGAAATCGGCGGATTTAACGAAACTAATCCGTAACATCGCGATACTCGACAGCTTATAAATTAGAATCAGCCTTACCAATAAAAAAAATCATCTAGTCAATGTTTTGCATAGGTCATAGGTCATTTTGAGACTTATTCTCAAGCCTTTAGTGCAAATTTTATTTTTGACTCCCTAATATAGACATAATTATCAAAACATATTGTTTTGATTAATAAAGAAATTTGTTTGAAATGGGCCACTACGGATTGGTACCTAATCCCTTTCAGTAAAAAGTAACAGCTTGTATATAACGTTCGCCACGTACCATAAACCAAGATCAAATAGGTTGCATAACTAGATTTAAATTTAAACCATCGTAATCCATTTTCACAGGTAATCACTGGCATCATCTGGGACGTGTCACGTGTTGGCATATATTATGGATTTTGTTTAAGAAGTTTGATTGGACGACTGAAACCAATAGTCTCGTGTCTCATGAATTGAAGATAGCGTTACAGGTAGTCTTTGAGTGGATTGATCCAAAGTCGGTGCTTGTTTACTATTGTGCTGGACCATTACATCGTGTGAAATCGTTTTGACACCGTGTGCAACTATTTCACACATTGCAGAATGCAGATATAGTTGGTGACTGAATCGATGTAATATATAGATTTTGAATATATGGATTTTGTTATTCTGTAGGTAATTTTATATTTTCTTTAGTACTGTTTCGTTTAAGCGTATCGTTTGTTCTGTCCTTGTTTTGTTTTATAGTTATCCTACATTGTTCTTTAATGAAAATTGGAGATCTTAAATTGATCATAGTCAATAATATTATATTATTTTCCATCTCTCGGTGTCTCAGTCAGTGAGAAAGGCGCCAACTCGCTAACGAGGGGGTCCCAGGTCCGTTCCTGATGTTGGCCGAGAAAATTTCTTCAGTATTTACCGGAGTGGTTTCCCCGTGTCTGTGATAAATGACGGGGGGGGGGGGGCTTGAAAGGACCAGCGTCTAGTCGTTTGATGGAACAAAGAAGAACACTTGAAAGTTGGAATTCGACAAAAAAGAAAACCGTATACCGCTGCTGTCCGGGCAAATTTTCCACCATGGCACACTGTATTGCATATACCCATATTCATTAATACGACAGCTGCAGAAAAGAAGGACGCTTAACACAATTTAATTTCCATAGTCTTATCATTTACAATAGTACATATCCTATTGACCCCGTTAATAGACCATTTTAACATTCCAAGTATCTTCTGTGACATAGATGGCGTCAATGTTTCTCCAGTGCATGTTAATATCGTATCAAAACGTTTAACTTCATATTTACCAATCGTCGCATTGCTTTCCTTTATTATTCATCTACATCTCTATGTATTTTTGTAGTTGAATACTTGCCGTTAAATCTGCTAAAATGTCGACATTTACCTTTGTAAAACACTCCATAAGAGTTATCTCCCGGTTGAATGAACTGTTGAATGAACGGATGCATATATTTTGATTTAACTGCTGATTGACCGGCGACAATAGAAATAATCACGATAGAGGTCGTGTCTAGTTGACACTAACGAGAGTCTAACCTGTATGAAATGAGAGCTAAGTACATGAACTGGGAAAATATGCGGCCAGGCCTGACAATCCTACACCTTCTCACTAACGAACCGGGTATTAAACCGTGACTTGCGTAGCTAACAGACCTTATGATCTACACCGCATACCCCTGACTACTCTGTCGCCTAACACCCTATGCACCCAACCCTACTACAAACAATGTATGCTCCTTGCAATCAAGGAGTCTCTGGGTTAAAGAACAACGCACTCGGGTTGCCTGTTCCTTTGATTTATTTTATAAGACAAAGAAATAATTTTTTCAACTTGGTTTTAGTTAATTTATTAGGCTTGTTTATTTAAGTTCTGTTTTTCCCAAAGACTGGGTTGAAGTCTGTTTCGTAGGTTTGACTTCTTTTTTTTTGTCCCTGCCTTTCGAAGAAAACAGCGTACTATTAAAATGGGTTTGGCTGTCTGTCTCTCCGCCTGTCTGTCTGCCCATTACACTTTTAACAACACAATAACTCTCCTCCTAATTGAGCTAGAATGTTCAAACTTGGCGCAGGTGTTTATTAGGTCAATGCCTTGATGGAGTTCGAAGATTTAGGGTTAGCAGAGATAAGCAAATTGATTGGTTCATGTATAGGGACTAGGGACACGATAACTGTAGAGAGAGAGAGAGAGAGATGGGGTTTAGCGTCCACTGGACACAAACTAGGCCATTTCGTGACTAACACATGAGTAGGCGACCCTACTCCTTGTCACGTGCAACTGGAGAATCGAAACCACGCCAGTTGACTCAATGACAGACCTTATGATACCATGCGCACGCGCTAACGATTCGCCCTCCCCCTTCTAATTAAATGACAGTGATGAAACTAGGTATATAGTTTCATAACATCAATACCTTGACTAAGTTCGATAATGAGCATTTTCTGCTCAGGGTAAGCAGAGCGATAAGCAATTTGATTGGTCGATACTTTGGAACACAATACATGTATAACTCCCTTCTAATTGAGGTCGAATGTTCACACTTGGTGTAGGCGCTCATAAGGTGAATTCTTTGATGGAGTTCGAAGATGAGCATTTTCTGCTTAGGGTAAGAAGAGAAGTGGGGATAAGCTTCATAATTTTTAAAGATATGTCAGGCATTCAATGTATAATTTCAAACAAACATCTGCGATTACTGTTTTTTGCTATAAATAATTAGTATTGATCTGTCATATTTTTAATTAAAATAGAATTAATAAATATTTAATTATCAGATCCGTTTTCTGAAATATATTGATTCTAGATACAAGGTAACGACGGGCCATATAAAATACTAATTAACATAAACAAAAATATTGGATCTACTTCCAAGGTAATTGAAAAATAAAGCAAATTTAAGATGATCAACTTTTTAGTGCAATTGCGTTATAAATTGATAATTATATTGGTGATTGGGCAATCATTAGGCATCTCAGTTAATACTCAGTGAAAGGCGAACGTCGTAGATACGGTAATTGCTAGTTTCCGACATGAAAATACAAATTACAGTTTATATCTAACACTTTATTATTATAAGTAATACAAACTATGACTTGTATGTACGTGCCATCTGGTGTGCCAGTATGGGTTAAAGGTAAAATACAATATTATGTTTCAAAGGTAAAAATTTGGTTATTTTTTTTTATAGATAATTGAATGGTTTAGCAGGTGTGTCATTGAGTCAAGTGGAGTGGTGTCGATTCCCGGACTGTACATAACAAGGAATAGGGTCGCCTGTCCAACCTCATGCGTTTTCTCTGGGACGTCCGGTTTCACCCTACAGCTTAAGCGAATTTAAGCCTAGTTGTGTCTCCCTCCCCATTGTCACTTTAAAACCAGCTGTTCAACCTATTGATTATACTTACAGATGAAACAAACAAAAATGTTGAATATTGTTAAACAGATTTTGGGCCATAACTTATCCAAGATGGACGTGGAACCGGAGAACTACGACCCGCACACAACAACACACGAGGAGATCACGTTACTGCAGCTTGCACTGTTCCTATTATGGATTGGTGCCACTCTCTATTACATCTTCAGATTCAGAAAGAGAGAAAATGGTGAAAATATTGTGCAATCGTTGGATATTGCTGATGTTGAAAAAATTGTGCAAAATTCTGATTCCTCCAAAAACCATGAAAAAGCTATAGACATAGGTGGAGAAGATAAACCAAATTCTAGTGTACAGAAACCGAGTTCAGGACCGATAACTCCATCACTGAATAGTTTCTTGCAACATGTATTTATATTTGGACTAGTTATGGCGTATTTTTATTTGTCTGATTATAAAAAGGTAAGAGTTTTATTGGAACGGTGCACTTGGCAGGATATGATTATTCCCCTTTGAATGGGGTTTAACGTCTTGTCCACACTTTACATAGATGTCGTAAGCTTACTCTACTTCGTCTAACAAACAATGCATTCTAGCTGCAGAACACATTAGGCCGGTCCTACTATTACCGACAAGAATAGTTGTTTCATTGAACACGCTATTTATTGTCAATAAAACCCAAATTATTGCAAATATGCATAGTCTACACATCTTATCCAAAATTAAATTATTTCATAAAATTATTAAAACTTGTAAAAATAGGACAAAAACGGTTGTACTAATCACCAACAAGAGCGGCGTTATGTCAGTGGCATGCAAAGTGTTTATAAATTTTGAAACATTGGTGTTTCAATAGCGATTTGTGCCGCATGTCTGGACCCAAATATTACATACAATTTCATCAGCTATATCTCTCCTTAACCAACAAAAAGCTCAAATTTACTATTTTCATAGGAACAGAATAATAAGTGAAATTTATGCAAGAGCTAAATCTGCCTATTGCACTCTTTCTTTAGGCCTGAAATGTTATATAAACTATTAATTAGACATTTATTAACAAAACAAGACCATAATCGACTCTCGATGGCATCGGATACTCGAGATTTTAAGTAGATTAAAACGGTTCGCCATTTAAAAATCTAATTTAAAAATGTTAAAGCGAGGCTAATCCCGATTATACCAGTGCCTTGGTCACCACTGTGCACACATCGTGTCAAAACTACAAACAATGATAACTTGGCTGAGAATGAAGTGATTTGAATGAAATTTTCAATATTTTCTTTTTTTATCATCTATTTTTGAATTATTATAGCAAGAATGACCACCCCCTTATTAAACTCTTAACTATTGTATAATTAACTACTGAATTCATATCAAACTTTTAAATGATTTCATAAAAAAAATTGATCCAGTGCAATCCCTAGTTTTCCTTGTCGGTATTACACCGCTTTGTCATAATTTTAATTATCCCTAATTTTATCAATTTTGGATATGACGTACATATGCATATTTCTTACATACCTTTCCTTGCAGCCACGTTTTGATATAATTGAGACGCTATTGACAAAACATGATATTTCACAAATGTTACAAAACGAATTGAAAGCGACAGAATTCTTACTCTCATTCATTATGGTAACAGATGGCTCTGTTTGAATTTAAATCTTGGCTGAAAATTCTCGCTCTGTTCATAACCCGTCATGACAACGCTTTTTGACAGCGTTACTTATGTTTAGACAGCAAGGCAATAATCGATAACAAGGTTACAACAACAATCGCTCGATCTTACAATACTGTTGAAATGACGAGTTATGAACAAGGCGAGTTTTTACATGGCCACTACTAGCCACCATATAATTTTACCAGCGCCATATATTACCATAATGATTATTATGATTACGAAACTAAATAACATTAATATGAGAGTCAATTAAAAGTAAATAAGTCATACAAATTAGCATTTTTACATGTAAACAGCCAATATACTATGTAAGAAATTACAAACACTGAATACGCATTACTAGTTAAAAGAGTTTTGTGTCGTGAAATCCACTCCTTAAAAACTAACTGGCTAAATTTATTTGTTAAGACCAGCTCAATTTTTGTCACGGTCGCTGAGATGTAAATAAGATTAGGGCAGGTGATTGTTGGCGAGATTGTAGGTACGGGTTAGGGTAAGCATTGGGGCTAGGTCCAGGGTTAGAGTTAGGGTTGGGATTAGCGCTAGCCCTGTTTACATCTCGTGACCTATGAGGAAAAATTGAGCTGGACTTATCATTTAGCACTAACCCTTAAAAACTCTCAACAATCGGTACATGAATACCGAACACTCACATCAGAACAGAGAACAGCCCACAATCTCTACTACATAATCCTTATAAGACATATAGAAGTAGATATCACAAATTAAAGACATTTATATGGGTATACTACCCATATAAGTGTCTTTAATCTCTACTACATATTTAACAAACACTACATGAATACAACACAGACAATCTTAAGATAGCACAAACAGTAAACACAGAATAAACAAAACAAACTACTGCAGATTTGGCATGTGGGAACAGACAAATAACTATTTCAATATATTCATTTTTCATTATAAATTTTTAGTTAATATAGCAACGACGACCAGTTTCTTAACCTAAATTTCGATAATGCCTCGTTAGTATTTCATGCGTGATTGTTACTATGGTTTTGTTTATATTGCTTGTTTTAAGATCGATCTAGTTCGCGTGCGCCTTTGCTATTAATTGGTATAAAATCATTAAAGAGAATAAAACAAATCGATAAAAATAAACTACAATAAAAACACATTCAAGTTATGAACTGCATTCTTGCTTTCTTGAAATTACAATTTTCGCCACGTACTAAATCGCCATTTTGTTTGTAGGCCTACTACAAAACATGAGTTCTTTTAATCCAATATGAGATACACGAGTTATTAAAGAAATGACGTCATTAAGGTGTTCCGATTTGTAGATTACTAATATCAATTTCATTTATTTTGCACAAAACTTAATAGATGCGTAAATTAAAAACAGAATGAAGTAGATAATTGTAGCCAGAATATATTTTCATAATGAGTGCAATCAAATTTTAAAAACATGTGAGAGAGAGAGAGAAATTGGGTTTAACGTCCACTCGACACAAACTAGGTCATTTCGGGACTAACATATGGTTTTAATTTTATTTACATAATTCGCTTGCGCGTAGGGGTCTTTAGCAGTGGGAGGAAACCAGAGGACCCGGAGAAAACCCACGAGGTTGGACAGGCGACCCTACTCCTTGCCACGTACAACCGGGAATTCGAAACCACGCCAGTCGACTCAATGACAGACTTTATGATACAGCGCGCGCACGCTAACCATTCAGCCATCCAACCCCCTTTAAAAACGTAATGACGACATAAGGCTTGCTATTTAAAAACGTAATGACGGCATAAGGCTTGCTAATTAAAAACGTAATGACGGCATAAGGGCTTAATAATTAAGATCGGGGTGGTTTTTTTTATTCCATTTATTTCCTATACAGTTATTTCCTATATAACATAAGGAATATGGTCGAGAGATATTTTTTTATTATTATATATTGCAGATCTTTCCAATATTACATAAGGAATATAGTCGAGATGTATTTTTATTCCTGGTATTTCTGGTATTTCTTATCTCATGTACGTTCTCCATTAAACCAACAGCTGATACAATACTCGGCAGGTAATAAATTAGCATAATACTATTTATCTCACCCAATGACGAATTTACTTATTGGCAGGGTGGGCTGCGCCCCAGAGAAACATCATCTAGGGAGTCATGTCTTTATGAATTCCATACTTTTGTAGGCTTATTAAATATGCTTATGACCAGGCTTCATATCGGTGATAAACTATTAGCAGTCATTCATATCCACTGAATATATGATCAGGGGATAAACAAACTGCACGAAACCTGACGTATTAAGGATTCAGCAGGGAAAAGCATCGAAACAGTTTGTCACCCCAAACATTACACTTTTATTAAACGTGTATTGTTACCAATCTAGATACGAATTGTTTGTTTGACTACCGTTGCCATAATTGCTTTGTATATTCCAGGGATCAGACGGAGGAATGGAAGGGTTGGATGCAGATAATGTTCGTCTGGTATCATTATTTTGCCGCCAAGGAGTGGTATAACTGGATTCGTGTCTATATTGCATGTTATGTTTGGATGACAGGATTTGGTAAGATACATATAGTATATAACTAAAAGATTGTAATTGCCACGTAAGTCAAGGGTCAATGTTATAGGGTCGTACGAGATTCGTTCAAGACAATGGCCTAGATATGCATTGTCTTCATCGAACCGTTTAAACTGGCCGTCATACGATCAAGAAATTCAATGGTTTTGTGGACTAGATTGTTTAGCTTTCTATTGGCAGTTCCATGGTATAAATCGTATGCCAAATCCGTTAATATTCATTCAGGTCATTGAAACAAAGTCTCACGCACTTAAAAAATTCCAGAGTTAGTCAGTAAATTGGCTAATCTACAGTTTGTAGAAACGTGAAAATCAAGACGTGGGCCTGACTCGTGACACTACATGCGTATTCCGAACTGAGCCCACCGGTACCTGGAATATAAAATGACTGTTCCAAGATTGCTGAAACGTATAGTTGGCATAAGTTTGTCATTATAATAATTTATAATTACTCCGTAATCTAATTTTCTTGTACGGCTACGTAGGTCAGTGAAATACCAATTTTACAATTGCTTGATAACTGTGAGAGTGTCCTCATTAATTAAAACAAACGTTGCAGAAACGTCGATTTCTGGGCAAAAAGTTCGCTCCTACACATTGCACTTGCCACCATAGAAATATTAATCACTTTGTATTTTTCTTTTGAAAATTTAGACAATCTGACATAGGTTTTTTTTATACGTTATTTCAGGAAACTTCTCCTTCTTTTGGGTAAAGAAAGATTTCTCCATGTGGCGGATGTTAAAGATGTTGTTCCGGTTGAATTTTTTGGTTATATTTGTGTGCATAGTGACTAAAAACGAGTACATTCTCTACTATATCTGTGCCATGCATACCTACTGGTTTTTCTCCGTCTATTTCTTCATGAGAATTCTCTCCTCTTGGAACGAGCACAGAATTAAGATGGCGATGAAGTTTGGCGCCTATATTGTCTTTAATGCTTTGTTGTTCGAAATACCCGGTGCCGTTGCGTTTGTTTTTAGACCCCTGTGGTTCATATTTCAATATCACGATGGAAAACACGATATAATGCATGAATGGCAGTTCCGGCTTGGATTGGATCATTGGGCCTGTTTGATTGGGATGTTATGTGCCTATAATTACCCTCACTTCGAAGCTCTAATGAAGTATTTGGAGGACGTTTCGTGCACTCCATCCGAACTATTACGAAAAAGGATGATACGAGTTGGGATGATTTTGACGTCAATAGCCGTCTGTATAATTTGGTATTTTACCATTGCAAAGCAAGATAAATGGGACTACAACAAGCTTCATCCATATACGTCATTCATGCCCATATTAGCTTATATAGTTTTGCGTAACTCATTTCCTGTTTTACGCAGATATCACGTACATATATTCGCTTGGTTAGGGAAGATAACTCTGGAAACATATTTATCTCAGTTGCACATTTATTTACAATCGAACGCCAAGGATCTATTAGGATATTTTTTCTTAGAATCTTCCAATTATCGTCTGCTCAATTTTTCATTTGCTACCATTGTATATATAGCCTTATCTTACGTTTTATTTAAAATAACGAACAATTTCAGTTCATTCCTGATACCAAAAGATTTTAAACTTATTTTTAGATATACATGTATTGGGGCCGCTAGTTTTATGATTTCATTTACGTTGGCAGCCATTTTGAAATACAGTCATATTATGTGATTATTTTACTACGGTACTGGTATATTCGAGACTTAGACTTGCTCCTCCATTTTTAAATTAAATCATCAAATGGCAGAACCGTTCAAATCTAGTTAAAATCTCGAGAATCGAGAGATGATTACAGTCTTGTCATTTTAATAAGTGTCTAATTACTAATTATTTATATAACATTTTAGACCGAAAGAAAGACCTGAAATAAGCAAATTTAGCCCTGGAATAGTGTATCCTTGATCTTTAAATATAATATTTTATAACATAATCATACACCAGGGGCCTATTTCACGAAATCTTAACTAAGATAAAATCCAAATTTTAGACTGATTTTAGCGCTTAGCCAATCAAAATTGAAGTATCTACTAAAATTTGGATTTTATCTTTAGTTAAGATTTCGCGAAACGGGGCCCCAGGTCCAATTAATTTGATTACTTTATTTTTACTTTAAATCAAACAGATTTAGCTTTTTTAACTGCTGAGCTTTGAATAACCAAACTTCAGAAGATGTTTATTTACTTTCTTGTTTTTGTATGTTTTATCGCCCGTCTTCATTAGACAAGTTCGGAGCAGAACAGTAGGACGTTAAACCCCATTTCATTTCATTTATATTTTGTCGAGATATGAAAACATACATTGGCGCACTCAGGTTTTTAAATTGTTGGTAAATCAGTTTTAGTATTTTAAATTTACCCTCGGTCTACCACCCGTAGCTAATTTGAGTATGTTATTATTGTAGGACCTGCTAGGTCTGTCCTTGGTAAATATGAAGTTTTTATTTTGTATTTACTTCCTTAGCAGTTCTTTCTCCCACCCCACCCCTTTTGCATAGGAATTTTGATTGACGTTTAGGTCTAGAATCGAAAAGGATAGTTTGAATTTTCATTTTCTGCCAGGTTTTGGTTGATATTCGTGATTTTAGTGCAGAAGGACCAGGAAGTACATGAATTATGGTGATCGCCTACTATAATGACGTCAACTGCATATAGATTCCTCTGACCAGGCCTAGCAAAAAATCGACAAGGTCGACAACCCCTTCCAAAATAAGTGTGACTTATTGGACTCCGTATGGTTGTATAGTTTAAAATATTCGCAATGTTAAAAGAAAATGTTATAGGACAAGAAATGTCACGGATTTAACAGTTATCTAACATTGGTAAATACAAAGAGCTGCTACATGTATATAACATTGGGAATTGTGAGTCTGCAAACTCCAAACTAGACTGTTACGTAGCTGTGTTAAATTCAGATCATGTGAATCTTCCAGTAAAGTAATACGATAGTGGCAATAGTAGACAATGGTAATAAAAGCTCTACTGTCATGCCAAACAAAATCGGGTACAATTCATAAGGCAGGGGGTTAATTTTTGCCTGAGCAAGAAGCATATTAAATTATATCCATTCCGTCGCACTACTCTTCTCTTATATATTTCAACTGTTTTCTTTATTTCATGTGAAGAACTACATATTCGTTCGCTATATTATATTTTATTTTATTAAATTAACATTATATTCATTAGGACAATATTTGATGAAAACCCGAGTGCTTGTGTACACATACTTTTGGGTTGGAATTCGAATTCGAAACGCTGCTGTACCATGTCCTGTCAAAACTTTCTTCGGTGCACACTGTATGACGCATGTCCGTTTCTAGGGCCTTAAACTTTGCATTACAAAAGTTATCGAAGCATCGATAACTTTAATATCTTTGTTACAATAAGTACAGAAAACATGATCGCTTCATAATAGTTGTATGTTCAAATTAGACAAATTATGTATTGAACTTGAGTTCAAATCATATCTATTTTCGGTACTTATTTACTATTTACGGTACTAATTAGTTTTTTATTAAACTATATAGGATTAATATCCCCTTAAATCTTTTAGGTCTTTATGGTACTAACGTTATTTCATCCGGGGTATGTAATGGTATTAGAAATGCTTTTTTAGCATGTTTTAAAATTTAGTTTTAAAGATTTCATATTTTGTTTATGTTTAAAATTCATTTTATTAATTGGCATTTAACTTAAGGAATGTTTGTATTGTTTTGTATGAAATTAAAGTTGGAATATGATTGATAAGTAAATATGAAAGCAAATTCTGATCAATAATTTACGAGAGATATTTGTTAAAGTACAATGGGGTAAAGTGGATTCTGAGAATATAAAAAATGTACACACTGGGTAAAATATTGGAATATACATGAATTTCAATTATAATTTTTGTTGTATATTTTGGGAAACACACTTTATAACAGATATCTGGATCCTATACTAACAATCAACAAGAATCGATCAGTAAGGTATGTTAGTAACAATATTACTACTTTATCGTCTTCGCCGGTTCGTACAAATTTAAATTTTAGTATACATTTACACCACGATTGTTCAAATTTGGTTGTATCCATTTATTCAAACAGTAGCGTATATATTTTAATTTTCAATATTCGATTCGTTCAGGAATCTTAACGATAAATGCTTTACTCCAAGTAAGCAAGTTTTCTAGTGTTGTTTTGATTATTTTATACGATATATGTGATAATGATTCTTTGAAAATTGTTTGAACGATGAAACATCCAAAAGAAACATTAAGTGTGACTGAATAGTGTTTAGAGTAGCTTATTGTATTTCAATGAAGAAACTATAACGTTGGTTGTTTAGTTTTGTTTTAAATGTATGATACATATATTTATATATTGTTATATATTTGAGGGATTTATATATTTATAAAAATGTGTTACAATTTACATATTTTTACTGTTACCTATTGTTAAATATTTGAGGGATTTACATATTAAAATATGTGTTAAATATGTTATTTATTTGATGGTCGGACGTCTATTTTACATGGCTTACAAATACTTATTGTGTTTTCTTTCATTTCAATCACTGGACGTGTGTCTCTGATAGTGGGAGCCACGGTGGCTCAGCGGGTAGGCCGTTGACTCGCTAACCTGGAGGTCGCGTCTTTGATCCCTGCATTGGCCAGGAAAGTTCATCAAGTCATGAAGAACAGAGGGCCCACGTATAGTGTAGTTGTTCGGATAGGACGAAAAGTCGAGCCCTTATGTACACATCGGCGTGCACGTAAAATATCCCTTGGCAGATCTCGTAGCACACTGTATAGCATGTCCATCTTCATTAGTCCAGTCGGAGCAGAACAATGGGGCGTTAAACACCATTTCATTTTCATCTCATTTTGTCTGTGATGGTGCTCTTCGACTCGATAGTCACTTAACCCCATACAATTCTGACGTCTGAATACCAAGTCCAAAGCCATCGCTCAATTTACTTCCGGTAATGGGTCGAGCAGCCGCGTTCTGAACTTTTTGTAATTTATTAGTTAAACGAGATGGTAAACCAATAAGTAAATGATAGGTGCAGCGAAAATTTTCTCTACTGAAAGTTGAACTCGACACGGCGAATGTGCACGCTTCATTGGCTTGTCTCGAAGTGATTTCTGGCTAGTCACGCGGTACGATAACACTCGGCGCTAGAGTATATGGGTCTATAAATAGCCATCGCATGTGAAATTCTCTACACATCTATCAACTATTACAGCCGTAAAAATCTATTATTGATGATTCTTAGTAGCAGTAATATTTAACTTTTTGGTTATTACAGCAGTTTTAGAAATTACGTTCGTTTTATTTTTGGTTTAGTACAAATAATATCTCTGAAACACTCGGGTTAGGCAAGGACATGATACTAGCAGTAGTTTCATTTTACTTTTACAAGGTTCTTAAAACAACAGCTTTCTGTTATGTTTCGTAAAATGTAGTCTTGATTATCCCGGCCTGTCAATCAGACGGAGAATGGTCGGTAGACGGTTAAGTGAGACTAATTTCTAAACAAGAGCACGTAACCTATTTTTTACTCAAAAGTGCCCTAATGTTATTGCCGACACTCGTAACCATCTTTCAGTCTATTATTTATGGATAGTTAAATGGTCATAGCTTATTAAGTACAACATGGCCGTTTATTTAGTGACTATAAATATGCCAAACTGATTTAAGGCTTGGCATATATATACATATTGTGGTGTAATTGTCAAGATATTTAGAGATATAATGAAATACAATTATCTAATCGTGATGTGACAAACCGCACTCAACAATATAATTATAACGAGATCCTGCGCACGCTTAACTCACATGTCTTTTCAAATGACCTTCTTAAAAAATTCAAACTAAACTCAATCTAATACAATGTAATGCTTCGAACAATATTTGTATCATCTGCATACAACCTTTGTTACTTGAAAAAACAATAACGTTACTTTGAAACTGATCATACTGGCGGCTGTGATCCTTTTAACAACCTCGCTAGCCTGGAGGTCGGGTGTTCGATCCCTGCATTGGCCGAGAAAGTTCATCCGGATTTTCCGACGTGGTTTCCCCTTGTCAGTGGTGCAGAACGGAGGGCCTAACAAGAACAGCTGTCTAGTCCTTCGGATGAGACGAAAAACCGAGGTCCCGTGTATACATTGGAATGCACGTAAAAGATCCCTTGGCAGTTGGAATTTGATATAAGAGTAGGCGATGGTGCCGCTGCCCGGGCAAAATTTCCCTCATAGCAAACTGTATGGCGTATGCCCGTCTTCATTAGCCCAATACAGGAGCAGAACAGTAGGACGTTAAACCCCATTTCATTTCATTTCATTTCCTTTTAACAACAGGGTTCACGGTGGCTCAGTGAGTAAGACGCTGGTACGCTAACCTGGAGGTCTCGTTTTCGATCTGTGTGTTGATCGAGAAGTTCATAGAGATTTTCTGGCGTGGTTTCCCTTATCAGTGGTGCAGGACACAGTGCCTGGCAAGGGACAACTTATAGTCATTCGGATGGTACGAAAAAACGAGGTCCCGTGTATAAAATGCGTGCACGTAAAAGAGCACTTGGCAGATTGAATTCGATATAAAAGTAGGCCGTAGCACCGCTCTCCGGGCAAAATTACCCTCATAGCAAACTGTATGACGTATGCCCGTCTCCATTAGCCCAGTCCGGAGCAGAACATTAGGAGGATAAACCCGTTTTCATTTCCTTTTAACACCACAAAATATGGAATACACCTGAATGTACTATTGCTTTTACTTCTTCATTTGACAGAGTTCTTCATCATTTTATATATGAATAAAATTGCTTGCAATTATCTGATTTATAAATTCATCTGGTACTTTTATTGCGTTTTGTTCCTTATTAATATATCATATTGACCAAAGGCGTTTTGTAGCCGAGGCGCTGGAGGCGCCAGCCTCCTCGCGAAAAAAGGGAGAAAAATGCTAAAACCGATGAGAAAAATGAAAATGTACCCTAGTTAGGGAGGGAGGTCTGACAAAAGGGGTCCCTCTGGCCAAGGGAAAGGGCCCCCGAGTCAGAGTCAATCGTTTTCTATACACTGTTACTGTCGAATCCACTACTGAATGAGAATGTAGTCATTGCATTGGCATGAAAACCATCAATCAAGAAATCACCTTTTCTGAAAACCTACTAATAAGCTATTCAGGAAAGAGATTGCTAGGCCGCCTAGTATAGCATGGGTGCACTAGCCTTATTGTGCATTGAAGCTAATCTTCTGCACTTGATTAATTTGGATGAGATCATCAAAACTTTCGCGAGCCGCAAGGCTAGAAAGGAGCATATCGTGTAACTGGAAGATGTAACGTCCTTGAACTTTCTTCAAAAATTATTTGAAATCCACCATATTCCATTAATTATTATTTGATTGAGCTCCTGGTACGAACAAGTGATTTGTTTCGCATTCAGGCTTCAGACGAGTATCGAATTAGGCCCCGGCCCTCAGATTAAACCGGCCTCGAGGGGCCTGGAGGATATGTCAGAATGCACCAAAATATTTTCTATTTTGCAAAGTTTCTCGACCTCCGGTGGCCGGGGTCAGAGAACCCCCACCCCTCCCTTGAAAGAGGGCACTCAAAATAGTATAGCCTCTGCCATGATAAACCTTAAAACGCCCCTGATATAGACAACATGTACCCACATAAATCATATGGTCATTTTACATGTGATTATTGTTGTTGGAGATGGATGTTTTCAATGCGCGACCAAATGCAGTACAAAATGCCTTGACCTTAATGTAGTAAAATAATTATACATTAATGTATATGTAGCTATACCAAGAATTAATAACAGGTCTCAAATCTATGAAATATTGTTACTGATTATTTGTAAGCGACTTGATAATGACTAGATATCGAGCATAGTCGAAACGTACCTTAGTAATAAGCAGTGTATATGTTCCATAGAATTGTCACCTATGTATTTTTAAGTTAATTACTAAATTATATCATACACAATTTTAAAAGACTTTTATAATCGCGTATATAATAACCCATTTTATTTCCATATCCACCAACCCCAAAAGAAGCATGTTGAAGTCTATGAATGCGGCAGTTATTCTTAATAGTGTCCACTCGTAATGTGGTGGGGGTTTTCCGAGCCCATTCTGATTATCTTTTATCACGAGTAAGGTTTTATCCAGAAAAGGGTTTTAAACGTTGACATAGTTATTCAACCCTTCCTTTAATATCGAATAGTATCACCTATTAACAAATGGGGCCAACGTTACACATAGAGGGATTCTTAGAGTTTACAGTTGATGATTTCGGAACTAGTTACACGATTCAGGTATTAAACGACTGCACAATTGACAAGGATAGATCACACTGGGGGAGTTACTCGACCAACATCAGGATCGAACCCATGAACTCGTGGTTAGCGAGCCAGTGTCACAGGCAATCTAAATTGGGTGACATAACGAAATAAACAATACATTAGCTTGTTGTTTGTTAGTTGTATTTTACGTCCGCTTCCACCGAGGTGATATCGCAGACAAGAAAATACATTAGCTGACACACACACAGTTTAAATTTGAATGGTGTAAGGAGCTTGAACACTCTTATTCATCCAGCCGTTCGTGGCTTACATAGTTCTTATGTAAACTATTGGTATTTGTTGATATTTTCCGGTGACCCCGGAATTCTAACAATATTCAAAATTCAATTTGACACAAAAGTACCAGGATCCACCCCTCTAACCGCCTTATTCAATTCCGGCTGTAATATCCTCTATTACTCAATATAAACTGAGAATAGCCAAAACTAACAATGCTCACATTTATGCAGTTTATTGACAAAATCAAACGATAAATGATGTAATAGTAATCTCCTGTTATTGTAGAAATGTTCTTATTCCAAATATAAGTGGAGATCAAACAATTCTTATGAATCACTTTTACAAAACCATTTTAGTAGTTGGTATGAAACAGCCCTGTTCTCCCATCGTTAGAAAATAGCACTTTGACTTTGGTTTAAAAAATAGTTTATTCAATAAACTGAATCAAGAGCCTATATAAGTTCTCTCAACCACTGGACGGGTGTCTCGATGGATGATGGGAACCACGGTGGCTCAGCGAGTGAGCCGTCGGATCGCTAACCTGGAGGTCGCGTGTTGTTCCCTGCATTGGCCGAAAAAGTTCATCAAATGATGAAGGACAGAGGCCCAACACGGGACAGCGTAAAAGAACCTTTGGCAGTTGGAATACAATATAAGAGTAGGCCGTAGTGCCGCTGTCCGGGCAACATTTCCCCCATAGCACACCGTATAGTATGCTGGTCTTTATTAGCCCAGTCGGAGCAGAACACTAGGACGTTAAACCCCATTTCATTATCATAGCATTTTGTCTGTGATGGTGCTTTTCGACTCGACAGTCACTTAACCCCATAAACTTCTGACGTCAGAATTCCAAGTCCAGAGACATTGCTCAATTTAACTATGACTGGGAAAGGCTATGTCGTCCTTGAGTGGTCTAGCGCC